TCAGAAGCGTTGATGTCCACTCCGTGAGCGTGCAGTCGCCACAGCTCCTGTGAAGACGCAGCAGCAATAGCAAAAGGCTGAGGGGGTAGAGGATGCTTGGAAAACACCCTCAATGGGCAGATCCACCACACGCCTGTGTGTCACCCACAGCCGCTGCCTGGAGGCACCTTGCAGAGAACCAGCACGGAAGGACGCCAAGGAACGCTGCAAAAGTGTGTCTATGTCCATGCGTTGTCTTCAGCTCTGGGAGACAAACGCTTCTTGAAATAATCTTCTTGCTCCAGGAAGACCAACAGCCCGCGCCTTTCACTGTCACTCCAGGTAGCACCCATGGCCTCCCCTTAGCACGGGACTCTTGCAGGCAGCTGCGACAAGTCAAAATCGGCAGGTGCCTGTGCTCTTGCCAAGCCACTTCACCGCGGTGCAGAGCCGAAAAGCGGCCGAAGGGCTCTAGAAGATGACTTTGAATGTCCCAGAGCCAACTCGGCCATCTCGGCGAGGCCACAGGCCAGAGGCCAGCGAAGCGTGCAGAGATCCAGAGAAGCTGTTGGCGCATAGAAGCACCGGGCCCTACCTACACCATGCTCTCGCAAGACTCTCCTGGGGATGCGCACTCCTTGCAGAGACCTTCGGACGTCTCCCAATCGGCGTTGGCAAACTTGTCCAGTATGGGCCTGTGCTTTCGTTGGGCTGTCGGCGAGGCATGTGAAAGATGCAGTGCAAGCCCAGCAAGCTGAGGGGCAAACTTGTTGTCTGTCTTAAAAAGAGTGTAATCATCGACGCTAAAGGACTCCTCGCCCTTTTTCAGCTTGTCTTTTCTAGAACCGTCACTGGATTGGATGATGGTTCGTTCCTGGCAGGCTAGAGCAAAAGACCTATGAAGCGAGGAGGTTGTCGTCGGTCCTCCGCCACGTGGCAGACGTTGTTGACGTGCAAAGGCCGCTTGGACTCCAGCTTCTCTGCCTGAGCCAGGCCGGAGTTCAGGCTACTCATGGAGAGACCACTGTATGGATGTGCTTGATGTGCAAGTGCCTTGCATGAGCCAGCACTACCACAAAGCCTTGTCCTTTTCGCCCTTCTCCATCAACTTCTTCTTCTCACTTTCAATCTCCTGGCAGGCACGAGCCGCTCGCCCTCAAAAGGCCACGACCCTGACGACAAGAAACTGCGCAAGAGTCGGCAGTCCTCCTCTTTTCTGTCTCGCGTTATTCTGTTCACACGAATGTTCAAGCCGGTGTCCAAATTCGGATGGAACCTTGGTAACTAGCAACTAGCAGGCATACTCGATTATGGTGCAAAACAAGCATACTGTAGCTCGTGCTGTGCTGCAACTTTGACAAATTCACACACAGTCCTTCTGAGGTCAAGAACTGCATCGTGACACTGAATTTTATGATGTCGCGCATGGCACAGGCCACAACGGATTTGAACCTTCATTTTGGGTCGCACTGCCGGAGGTGTTTCGTGATGACCTGGGTTTCTGCAAAATTAGCTTGCACATTTTCCGTCTGCTTGGCTTCCTTGGTTTCTTCACTCCCTACTTCCTTCCTTTTTCCTGGGGAAATGGAAACTTTCATAGAGAAATGGCCTTTTGTCAGTGCTCACAGGGTGAGTATACTGCAACCTTCATCATGTCTGAGCTTGATTCTTGACCCCCAGCTGATCATTTCTGGTCCCTGTGGCTTTGGTTGATTCAGTTAGACAATACCTTGCCTATTTAGGTGTATGGCACCACCCAGCCCAATGTCGCGTCCTTCTGCTCTGCAAAATCAGGCTTGGAACGCTTCCACCGTCGTGTGCTGCCGCAAGTCGAATCATCTGTGTGAGTTCGCAACTTTGGAGCCTTTAGGCATTTTGCAAGGGACTTTTCTTGCGATTGCAATCGGAAGGAAGAGTTTCGCAGAAAGTGTCCACAGCCTTCAAACGTCCATGGCGTGCAAACTCAGGCGAACTATAGTTTCTGCCTAGAAATACAGACTATCATAGGAAGGTGCGCCGTGCTCAACGTCTTGAGTTCCACACGGCTGCATTCCCGCAAACATCCCTTCCTTCCATCCACTCTGCTGCTGGTCAAAACCATGTAAAGACTCTGCATCCTCCTCCTAGAATGAGGCCAAAACGCCTCGCAGAGTTGAGGAAATCTCGACGGGCGTCTGAGAAGTTCTGAGGGAACCCGGCTCGCGATCAGAACATGTGCGAAAACACTTCGACAGAGGCTGACTGCCGCAGCATGAAACCGAAACCCTCTTCGGCCGGTGAGCCAGCACCTTAACTAATCTTAGAGAGCACTACGCATTACTGCCTGCGACTGAAAACTTGGGGCGTGGCGTCGTCTCATCATCACTTATTTCGAGTCGGTCCCACTTCGAGTAGTCGAAGCCAGACATGGCTGCTGAGCCCCTTGAATCTGCTGTTCGAGCCAAAGCGCTTCGGAGTCATGCGACGTCACTCAGGGGCTCAAGATCGTCCGGGCCGAGAGCGTTTCAAGCAGGGGAGATTGGAGCAGGACCGGCGTGATTCGGTGGCTCTTTCTTCCAAATGCAACGGTTTGTGCCAGGTAGAGTCAATTCGGTCAGCGAACCTTCGGAGCTTGGCTTCCTCCTCTGTGGGTGTCCCTCTGCTCTGAAGATTCACTGCTGTCCTGACAGCACTTGTGCCAGGAAGTTACATTATCACAAGCCTTGCTTGGCTTGCAGAGCTGCAGGCCCCTGGTAACGCTTCTGCAACCCAGGAAGGTCGGCGCTCAGTCCAGTGTGTCAGTCTCTGCCACCTGCCAGACTGCAAATGACTCGTGCTAACTCGTGCTTCCTCTTCTTCTCTGCGCAGTGAAGCTGCTTTGTGCCCGTGGGCTCCGTCGTAGTGCCCGTTATGCACTCTGCATGTTCGTGCCTTCTTGGGCTCCCCGCCGGTGGCTCCCTGTCTCGCAAAGCACATTCATAGAGGGTTTCACAGGACAAAGGGCCTAAACGACCCTGCTTCCACTCCGCACTCCCCGTGCCGCTCGTCCTGCTGAGGTGCATCCCCTGCGGCGCCGAGAGGAACCTGTTACCAGCAGTCGCCAGCATGCTGCCGGGGGCAGTTCAGGGTGCAGCATTTGTGCAAGGATTGAGAACATCGAATCGAAGGGAACCTCTGCACAAGACTGCAGAACCGTCGCTAAAGTAGAACTCAACATTGCAAATCGGTTCCACAAGTGCTCGCACTCGTGCATGGACCAGGTATGTACTCGTGCAGGTACTGGTGTTTTGAGTTTCTGCATGGTCACTCCTTTTGTACGACAAGGCTACGAGAAACCTCCAGCAGGCTACGAGCTCGAACCCTTAAACCAAAGCCCCACCAAACAACTCCTGTGCTATTCACACACCCCACATAAAGGCAAGGGACCATCAGCAGTTATGCTCCCACCCTGAGCAAAAAAATGACTTCGATTCAAGCACTTGCCGCCTCCGCTGGGTCCAGGTCTGGCAACTCCTGGGAATGCAGCTGACAAGATACTGAAGCAAAAGCGAAAGTAAACTGGCACGTGACTTGAAGCGACAGCTGACCCTAAATCGTATGACTGCGACACCAGGCCAGTTCATGCAACACCGCTCAACTGCCTCATCGTCAGAGTCATACTCTGCATCAGCACCCATGTCGCCGAAATTCATGTCACCCAGACCTGGCAACGGGAGCTCATGACATGTCTCTACTTCTTCCGCATATGCGCAAGGCTTCCGGAAGTTCGGCGCTTGGAATGGATTTGCGTAGGCTTCAATGCCAATATGCCCGCTGAATCTCATCTGCTTAACCGAAGCAGAAAACCGATCATGATTGCGTGAGAAGGATGCCAGGGAGGCCGTCCAGGTTCCATGCGTTCTGTTTCCCCTCGTCCTCGTCGTCTGAGTCTTGCCATCTCTTCCAATCCACCTGCTGCGCCACAAAGACGGCAACCCAAGAGTATCGGCATGGACAACAGTGACAAGACTTCGTGACTGATTCGACGTCACATCCTGGTAACATCATGTGTCCAGAGGTCCTCGGACTGCTACGGTCGGCTTTCTAAGTTCGTTGGGAGATCTTTGCTCCGAAGAGTTGACGGATCAGGCCGCCTTGACCCATGGCAGCTTCTTCACCTTGCTGAGGCTCGTCCAACTCCCCTCCGTCTCCTTCTTGAGGTAAAACTCGATTAACCTCCCGCATGAGGAACTCGACTCGAAGCTAACAGTGCCGCCCAGATTGTCCAACCTCTTGGTGCTCCACTTGGACTCCTCCTTTGCAATCGGTGCCTAAGAGCCAGCGAGCGATTCCACGAAGTGGGCTCATGGACAGAGATTCCAAGGGCTTTGCAAAGAAGTCCAGTGAAAACTCATAGAGGCTACCGCCCACCTGATTAGCAAGGAGCCGGGCTTGACATAACATGCAAAAACACAGGCTAAACACGTAGCCGCCTTGCCATAGAAGGACATCTTCTCGGCATCTAAGTTGACCTGGCTTCGACTTAGAGCTCCGTCGGTGTCATACTACGCTCTGGCGCACGGCTGCCTTTATGTCCTGAACTTCTTTCAGGTCTATGGTCAAGTAGACGGCATCCGGGCGTTGTGCCCAGAGGACATCCTGTCCCGAGAGTTGTGGAGATGCGGCAGGAACCAATGTCAAGAGCCGCGAAGAACTTGGTGTCGGACAGGCGTGAGCGACATGACCGGCTGCGTGTTGAAACTCTTCAAAACTGCACCTACTGCACCTTGAGCCTAGCCGGGCTTTCCAAGTGCAAGATCACGAAGCAGTAAGACCTCAGCCTGCAGCTCTAGCGAGGCAGCACTACTCCGGACTCCTTTCTGAGCGATGAGAGCAAGGCTGTTCAAACTCTCGACACCTCTGACGGTGCTGGGTTTAACGTACTTCAACTATCATTACACTACTTGATCTTTCTGGCATGAGATTTCGATGCCGTTGCCAGAGGTGCAAAGAGATGACTACAGCCCTTGCCCTGGCCGAATCGAAGCGACCAGGCAACCTCATCACCTGCCATCGAAAAAGACAGGCATTTCATTGATTTCAGGGTCTGCTCAGGCTGGGCTGCCGGGCGAGGTTTTCTTCTGTCCTGCCTCTCTGTGCTTCGCTTGTGCCTGCTGTCACACCCACAGGCTTCCGGTCACAGGGAACTCTTTGGACTCTGCACGGGATGGGCTGGCCTCGTTCTGCACCTCTTTCGTTGTCTTCCAGTAGAGAACAAACCTTCACATTGACTGACTGGCAGACCGGTGTGAAGTTCAGAAAATATCTATCCTATGCCTGCAGCGTGGCAAAAGGCCCGTGTCCTCTAGCAAGAGGCACATCCAATCCATGCCTGAGGCATCCGCTGCAACAGGAGGACGAACCACAGCGTCGCCGCCGCCAACGGGTTCAGGATTGCTACCACGTCCTGCCAGCGGAATAGAAATCAAGACTGTCTTCACAGCATAGAGCCTGCTGACCGGCGGCCTTCGTCTGCAGCGCATATGTCAGGACCTTCACCAAAAAAACGGTACAGCTTTGTGCTACTGGTGCCTGGGGTTGGCGGTTGCTGAGCAGCTGAGGTGCGGTCCCGGACGGAGCACCCCGCCAGCCCCATAAGAGCAGGCCTTGGCACATCCCAGCACGGCCAAGGTCGAAGGCTCTGAAGGAAGCAGCTTCCTCCGAGGGCAAAGCACCACAGCCATGGTCCCTGTGTGCTTCTGGACCATGTTCTTCCAGATTTGTGGAACTTTTGAGCCATTGCCTTCGTGCCAAGAGGCTCACGCTCAGCGAGTCTTTTCCTCCTGTCGCTGAAACGAGCTCGAATTCAGCAACCGGCCAAGGATGATCGGTGCCATGCCCAGCGCTGAAACGGCTGCCTCGGGCAGGCCTCGGTGGTGCTCCACGTCTCGACGTCTCGACTTGGCGACCCGACCCCCGGTCCACTCTCCAAGGGCAGCACCAAACAGAAGCACTAAAGCACTGCAGGCCACGAAGGTCGCGGCACCAAGGAATCGTGGCCTTGGCAAAAGCAACAACTGCAGAGATGAAGGGTTTGCTGCTTTGCAATGTTTAACAGGTGTCTCTCTGGAAGCTTTCCATGTTGGCCAGCCAACAGAGGTTCCGACGCTTTGGGGAGTTCCGGCGAATAGTGCCAGTACATAAAGATGATCTGGGCGTTCGCTGCATCAGAACATGGGTGAGCTGAGCGTGCAGGGCCCACAAGGCCCCGGCAATGGCATTTTGGATGCCAACTATCACGTTCTCCCCCCAACTCATGAATGGGTGACCAGACAGCACATTGTAGTACACCTTAAGATTGGGCTTGCACTCCCCAGTGCTTGCACATGCTCGGATACAACCCGTCTCCATGTCATATGCAAACAAGCAACAAACAGCAAGCCAGCGATGCAGTCGTTTATCACAAAGGCCTCTGACAGACCCACCACGCTGCCTGCCTGTCGGGGTCCCACAGTCTCTCATATCCCTGCATCACTGCATGTGGCTCGCCTTCAAGATGTTGTTGATCTGAGGAAGCTTCATGAGACAGCTCCTCCATCCGTGGCAGCATCACAGGCTGATGCGAAGCCATGGAAAACTCTCTTAGGGCCGGTCCCTGCCAGCATGGCGCAATTTAACCCCATGATCACGAGCTTCTTTAGCTCGGCCATGTCCACCATGTCCGCCATGGCTGAGATGGGGCCAAGGACCAAAGGCTGGAAAACCAAGCTCTACTTTGAGTGCGTGATCTAGGATGTAGCTCGGAAGGTTACTCGGACTATGCCAGCTGTACTTCCGAAAGGCTGTAGGCTGCCGTGATGTCTGGCCTGGTGACTGACCAGGTCGACGTTGCAAAAACCAGCATGGACGCTACGGGCAGGCACTGCTTTCATGTCTAATGAGTCTACTAGCTGCCAACGGAGGAATACCACGATAAAGACACATGCCACCGTTTTGCGACAAGCCACCTGCATGCCTACCAGTACTCTGTCACGTGGCGAGCTGCTTCTCCATGGCGCTCACCTCCGATAGGGTTGGCATTCGGAGTTTGCCGGCGTCAGTGGCATTGCGCAGGCAGCCGCTGATGAGCTCAACGACTTCAAGCATGTCCCGGCCACGGAAATGGTTCACCCACTGCGCATCCTCCTCATCCAGGAAGCCGAAACGACACATCAGCGCAAGCGTGGGACCACTGTCACTGCTTTCTGCAGCATAAGTGATGCTGTGCTCAAAGAGGAACGGAGAGGAAAGATAGACATGGCCTTGACACAACGAGGGCACTGCTACCAGTAGCTGCAAGACGCATGTATGCTGCAGGCATCAGAGCTCTCGCACTAACATTGCTTTCCGATTTCCTTTCCGGAGCAAGTTCAGCACCTAGCAGTATGCTAACGGGACTGGAGATATCGGTCGCCTCTGTTTGTCGCTGATGTGTGAACTGGAAACTTCCGCTTGACTGGAAGGGGTGCATACACAGGCCTGCGGGGTGAATCTATCAATTGCATATCGAGATGAAAATAAGATATTGAGGGGAATTGCGGGCGAATCTTCAGTGCGAGATGCCTGCGTCCATCCACAACTCTTGCGTCCAGGAGTCATCATCACTCCTTAACAGGTACAACGTTCAGCGAGCTCCGTCCAGAACTACATCCACCCAGTGCGCCCTTTATTGGTGGCTTCTTTTCTTCAGGGCTGTTTCAAGCCCTCCCTGAATTTCTCCACCCCGGCACCGAGCTCTGAGTTGGAGTCGGCGGCGTCCGCTCAAAGTAATCCTGAATAAGGCCGAGGAGTTCCGTGGTGCTCTCTAGGCTCCGAAAGGGACAAACCCCTGCATGCTCAAGAGGTCCCAGTCCCTACCGCAAGAAATTCATCCACATCTTACATCTTAACCCTAGACCACAAGACGACAAAGCAACAAAACAGCGTGAAGGCCCAGTCACCCCAGATGAAGGAGCCCCGTAGCACCATCGCGATGCCAGTGCATCTCCTTCCGCCGAGCTGGGCCTGCCTGGAGCTTTCGGGTTTAGGGTGCTTGCTGCTGGCCGCAGGATGGGTGGCTATGGCTATGTCTATGCTAATTGCGCCGAGACCGATTTATACATATTGGTATACATGAACAAAGCATGCATCATATGTGTCGCTGTGCATTGTCAAACTGAGCAACTGTCAACATGCAGCAGCCTGCGCTTCAATTGCCCCAAAGAAGCCACGCTCCTGGAACTCTTCTATCAGCATCTTGAGCAGGCGACACCTGCTAGATTTTCGGTGGATGGAATAGACTTGCAATAGAAAGCCCACTAGACATGTCGAAACCCTGCCGAAAGTGTCCGATCTGGGCCACCCATTGTAACTCCTGATGTGCCGAACACCCAGGAGGAAGTCCTGCCTGAGAATATCATCAGGTTTCTGCTCCTGTAGCTCCTGTAACCCAGAAGTGATCTGCTGCCAGCAGGCGGTGTTCACTTTGCGGAAAGCCTCAACCAGTGCCAGCACACGCGGAGGAGCTTGCCGCACTGGCACAACAGCATTCTTGCGAGGGACGAAGATATCGAACTTCTCACCCCAGCCGTGCACACTGTGCCAATCTGCTTTGAGCATAAAAGGCTCCCTCTTCGAAAACTGAAAGCTCCACTTCTTCCAGGAACCTGGAGCATGATCTGCTACGTCAGGCTCGTTCTTGCCATCCACGTCATCGAAGAGCCTCTCTGGCCACTCTAGTGTCCCTTTGAAAGGACCTGCAGGATCTTCGAGGACGTACGTCGTCAGCTGCTCCGATGGCGGGGCCACCAGAAAGACAGTCGGCGCATCGTCTCCCCCAACTTTGGTTCCTCGCAAGAGCGGAGACTCCGCGATAAAATGCTGAAGAACAGGGGCTTGGACTTCATCTTGGCGTGCTGCTCTTGCCTCGAAAGCAGATGGCAGCGAGGCATCTGTTGCTGACAAACCAAACTCGTAGAAGTAACACGTATGGAACCCGCCCCAGACGCCCCGAGACTCCGAGGTCCCGAGGTCACAGCTACAGAGCACGCAGAGCACAGAAACAGCGTTTGATCAAGGTCCAAGCTTCTCGAAGGGCGACTCCTCTCGGCCCCCGCAGAAACGCCAGGGCCGCCAGACTGACGGGATGTGGAGCATTGAAGCAGCACTAGTGCAAACGCAAAGCTTCCGGCAAGGCTCTGACTACTTAGCCAAACTCCACTTCCACGAAACCGCAAGACCTGCCACCCAGGCCACCGCAGGCCAGCAGCCACGTTGATCGGAAGCGAGTCCGGCCGCCCGGGCTCGCCGTGAGCATGTTACAGGAAGCCTACTAAAAAGCTTTCCTCGGACGTCGATGCGTTTCGGTATGTTAGGGGGCGCACCAAACACTTTCAAAGGTCTGGAAAATGCGCCGTGTTGATTGCGTATGCTGCCAGAGCATGGGGGGCTCGCAGCGTCACCACTTGCAGTTTCTTCCGTTCTGGATTCTGCAGCCCATCGGCGGATCGGGCGACTGGACGGTTCGAATGTCGAACTCCCTCAATAACATATTCCCTGTGAGCTCAGCTGCTCAAAGGCTCTCCTGCCCGCCCCAAAGGACTTTTCCGCTGCACGAGATGGTCGGCGCAAGGGCATCTGGAATGCCTGCACTTAGGACAAGGTTGAGGAGTCCAGAAGCTTGAAAAAAAAAGACCCTGCCTGCAAGCGTAGGTCCTGGGTGCAAGCAGCCGAGAGCAGCGACTCCAACTGGTAGACGCCAGCCGGGGCCCCGCAAGAAGCCGCCTTGGCACGACGTCACGTCGAGCGCTCCGCTCCCCGACCACCCGACCGACCGACCGACCTGGGCCAGAGAGGCGGCTGGCGAGGCGGCGTCGGCGAAGACCAGCAGAGACCCCCCAAAACCAGGAGTCCCTGCTGTTGGCAGCTCCTCTCATGCTCGATTTCCGCATACCGCTTTTGGTGAGCACTCATGTGTCCACTTTCGAGCAAACCTCTGACAAGCCAATCCGGTTTAGCCGTGATGTGCCGAGATTCATTTGCATGAAGCAGCGACGCGGTACTGCACTCTGGTGTGTACGCAACTACAGTGAAATCCGAAAGGTTACAAGCTTCGTCTCATCATAGATACAAGCTGTGAATCCGGCACGGCTTGAGAATCGACTCTGCCATGTGAACTGCTGCAGGGTGACACCAACACAGTTTGTTGTGACACTCAAAGCTTCAGTGTTTCCATTCAGCCCTGGAGTGAACCGATGCCCGTGAGGTGACTTCGTCTTCGATGCCGTGAGGTTCACCTTTTGCCAGTGACTCCAGGGACACGGACATGGCTTGCTCTCCAGGGCCATGGAATCCATTCTGGTGCACGGGAGGTGTTGGTGTGGATGTCAACCTCCCCACGGTCTTTTGAACTCTTGCGTGGCAAGACTGTGCTCTTGGCAGGGCACAATAGTCTGCCATGCCAAATCCTTTGCTCTTTCCAATCGAACGTAAGCTCTCGATGTCGTGCGGCATCGCATTTGCTGATCAATTCTCCTCGCGCTGGAAGTTCGTCAAAATTCCTGGACGTGGGATTCAACATCCACGCCTCGTGTCATCTTACAAGTGTGAAGATCAAAGCGCTTCGTTGGAAACCCGTGCCTTCCACCAGACGATCTGCCTGAGCGTCCTTATGTGGACACCACATCTATCGGAACTATTTTGTGGGTTGTGGAGGGCGGGTGACTCAGAAAATCGAACAAAGCGGTGACTGAATTTCTTGCACAGCCGCTCTACCAGGCCGGCAAAAATCATCCTGCTCGCAGAAACTCTTCAAGTCCTCCCCCATCGACTTCGCATCCAGCATGTCTCCTCCATGCTCACGCACCATCCGAGCACAGAAAGCCTCCTGTGCAAATAACCACAAGCACAGCACAGGCACCATTATGTTCTGGTCCAAGACAGGGACCGACTTGGCAGCTTTTAGGCAGGTGTTATTCTTCTGAAGACTAGCCTGCGTACTGGGCAGCCGAGCTTCGGATTCCTTCGGAGACGTCGCGCCCGACAGCGCTGCAATTCGAGGAGCGATGCCAGAGCAGTACTGTTTTAGCTTTCGCCGCGCCTCAGACTCTGTGACATCTCGGAAGCCGACATCAACCTCGCTCGCGAGAATTTGGCAGAAGACGCACTGCATGATGCGGCCCATTTGCAGATCCTTGGCTGGAGGCATCTCCGTGCCGCGAACATTCCAGCAAAGTGCCAACGGCCATAGCCAGCTCTTCATGGCAACAGCAGGCCGGACCTGCCTCAACGGTTCAGGGCAGCTCCAATGCCAACTTTCTGTACTACACTACTACATGTTCTGAATATGATTTTGAGCCGACAGTCTGGCATTAGACTGACGTGCCAGCACAACACTCATAGCACGAGTGGTGGACCGTGAGGACTGTAGACTCTAGACACAAACCCGCGATACTGTGGAGACCAACCCGCGTCTGCAGGCAGCCTCCTGCCACTGGCCGCCGGCGGCTTCCACGAGCGCATGCAGCTTCGGACGCTCCATTGTGGTCACCTGAAAGCAAAGTCGAGTCGAAGATAAAGCTACGGAAGGGTGCAGCTGCATAATTACCAAGACGACGCCTATGGAAATGATAACAGGGATGCACTGGGACTGGGCCGACATGCCTCAGGCAGAACATAGACGCGGAAATTTGCCAGCAAAGGCCGGTCGTGGGCTCGTTGAAGTACGTCTCCCAGAGAATAGCTTTGAGAGCCTGAGATCTGAGATGCTTCCAAAGGCAAGTCGTGGCTGGAGAGAAGCTCCGCTTCACAAGCACTCTTGACCGCCATGTACATAGACAAAAAACCACGAAAAGGAGCCTGATCAACAGTAGGATCGAACGAGATCAGCTGCTGACTTTCAACTGTTAGCCATCGCTAGCCAGTGCCTTCTTACAGTCCCGACGATGTGCACCAGATCATGTCGACAGGCGAGGTGCGCCCCAGAAAGCGCTTTGCGAAGATCTGCTGGCCGATGATGTCTCTCAGGAGGTCCTGGTTCCTCACCTGGATGTCATGTCGCATACCCATTGGCCACATCCGGAGTAAAAACTCGAGGCTGCCAAGATGCCTCAGGCACTCGTGCTTCTTGCACACAGCGCTTGATGAAGGCAGGCCTTACCTGCGGTCTATCGGTCTGTATGCGCTGCCAAACTGATCCCCAAATGCTGCACAGCTTGTATCAGAATGATATGAGTACCAGGGCAAGGGCAATCGGCACACCGCGACATAGAGCGCACCTCGCAGGTAAATTCGTGCAATGCTTGTTCAAGCGTGCGTTTTGCCTGGACGCGCGGCATGATTTTGAATGTCCGTCGCAAGCGGCAGGCCACCAAATGTGTGGCCTGCACACGATGCAGGGCTCCGTCACTCACCCTTGAGCCCATCACGAGCCTTCATCGTCCACGTGTTCGTGATCTCTCCTCCAAGAGACTCCACAAGTCTGCGGGCCGCATTCAGCAGATTGGCCTGGCCCGGCCATGCCCGGCCCGTGCAGACGCAGTCGTCGCAGACGCTTTAAAGGCAGCCTGGCAGCCTGGCCTCGATCTCCACTCCGCTCAGGGCGATCACCGGCCGCAGGGGTGCTTCTGCAAGAATCTTCTGCCCGCCCGTCGAGGCCTCTGCAGAATTTTCAGGCCACGCTGCAGAGCATGGACATCGAAATGCTGGCCGACCTGGTGCCTCCGCGGCGCCGGAGCAGGCACTTCTGGCGCCTGCTCCGCCTGCAGCTTCTGTAGCTCCCGCAGCCTTGGTTGCAAACTCACACCCACAACCGGGAGCTTCTTCCGCCACTGTTTTTTTCCCGCTCGCCTCGGCGATCGCCTGCAAGGCTTCTCCGGCGGGGTCTCGGCGAGGCCTGGACTGGGCTATGGCAAAACACATCCCAAAAACTGCAGAGCTCAATCAGCTCTGTGCTCTGAGTTCAGCTCCTGTCGACGGCGGCCGCTTGCGCTTCCTCAGTATGGCTGTGGCAGAATGTGTGGTGAAGAGGAAGGCGTCTCAGACAGTCCCAAAAAGAAACATTCTGGAGGCGAAAAGCGAAGAGTGAAACACAAGGCCTTGGCTGTGGTGGCGTTGCTGGAGGTGAGGGAAAGCCTGTAGCCTTTGCAAAAGTGTTGCCATAGTCACCTGACTGAGACACTCTCAAACCTTGGATGCAATCTGCGACGCCCGACTGAGCACCGTTCCCACCTTGTCCTATGTCACTTGTCTCGTCCTCCTCATCCAGCTGGGTGGCAGGACAATCCTGCTGCCAGGCAGCTGAGATGTCAAGAGTAGGTTTCCGCCTGGCCTCGTCTGGCAAAAGCAGCGTGGGCTCGCCATCGGCCATACGTAACCCTATGCACCCAGATCATTCCATGCATGTCTTTCAAGCTTACAAACTGTTTTAGGCTTCAGCTTCCATGCATGGTGAAGCTCCTTCGCAGACGATCAACCGAGATTCAATCCCAGCATGGTTCTGTGGAGTGACAAGTTGCTATGTCCTTGTTGCACCACTGCACCACCGGTTCTACGCGAGGCTCAAGAGCAACTGCGCGTTCAAATCGGCGCATGCTAATCCGAATCTGCCCGACATGCTGCTGAGCACTGCTGAAGACTTTGTCTGCATAAGCGCACTGGGAGTACTTTCGTTTTTTGTTCTGCTGCTTGCATCCAGAGGCTTGATTGTTCAACGACCGATATACGTGTATGACGTCTGATGACTTTTGCCTTGTGTGAGCTATGCCGCTTTGCTTCTTCCGCGCAAGCCTTTGGATCCGCTCCTACTCGGGCAAATATGTTCAAAGCAGGCGGAAATCACCAACCTTTGCCGCCGAAGCCTGCACATCCTGCGCCCTTGTTTCCAAAAAGGAAGCCACTTCCCTTGGTTCCAGCGGTATTCGGAAACAAGTGGCCACCCTTGGTGCCTTGCGTCTCGCTGCCGAAGCCTCCTCCGGGGCCTGCAGTGTCCCCCAACTCCCTCCGGCTCCGTGATGGCCATCCTCTGCCTCTGCGTTCCGGGCCTCGGCTGCTGGGCGGCGGGGGCGGCCGTGCAGCCGCCGCACTGCGCCAGGGCGGAGGCGCACGGTCTTCGCCGCTGGGACCTGTGAAAGATGCAGACGTGCAAACAAAAAGAAAAGAGGACGCTGCAGTGCCCTGGCTGGCTGGGAAACCTTCTGCCGGACACAACTGTGCTGGCATTTAGAGTTAGAGGCTGCGAAGGTGGTTCTACAGAGCCACAGGTCCTGAAAGACTGCGGCACAAGTGGCACAATGCTCTGATGCGCGGGGATTGGTAAGACTACACCGGAAGATATCGCAACTAATTCACACCGGCAACACGGTGCAGCTGCACTTTCAGCAAACAAGAAGTTTACAAACAAAATCGAAGACTTACAGGTAGCTCAATCTCTTGTCAAGCTGAGTGCCAAGCCATTGCCACAGCCACCGCCCATGTCGCCATAGCCACCGCCACAACCAGCATAAGCCGCCCCACCCTTGCCACCTGCGTTGCTGCCCCGGCTGCTTGCTCCCGTGAAGCCATCACCTTGGCCATGACTGTACTCGCTGCGCTCGCCGTAGCCGCCCCCGCAGGCTCCGTAATTGCCACCGCCAGAACTGTAGCCGCCAGCACCACCTCGGCTGCCAGGATCCCCAGTGCAGAAGGAAACCCGGTACAAACCGAATGACGCGCCCTCCGTGTGCAAGCGCACCCTCCCAGCCACACAGGCAGGCAACGAACAAGCATGCATGAATGAATAGATATACACATACATAGACAGACATGTACATACACACATACTTACATATACATACATAGATACGTTACTGATAGTTGAATCAGAAAGCAGAACTCGTTGATGCCGTCTTAAGGTCCGCACATGCAAGCAAAGATCCTACCCTGCAGTCCTTGAAATGAGTATCCTAGTTGACCCAATCTCGCTTGACTTGAAGCTCCACAGCAAGCGGGGTCGGGGCGCGAGTCTTGTTGAAAGCGTTTGCCCAGACAACCCGTTGGCAAGCCTCCTTAAACTTCTAAAACAGGTCGCAGTGCTCAGGCTCCAGGCAGTGGCCGTGAGCAGAACCGTTTACACAAATGCCTAAACATGTATTTCAACATTTCCCGTGCCCTGCGTTCAACCATCCGCTGTGACACTTGTTGCGTCTTCATGGCATGTTTAAACCATGGCTTTAATCGCGTTTCTGCTTAAGAACTGAACACGTTTACAGTTTAACACAACCCTGGCAACAAGCCCCACGTGCATTCGAGCAAGTTTCGGACTCTCTCTCCGCTCCCTTTGCAAGCCCCTCAGCTCGGTGGCGGGCTTCCGGGGCCCCATCCCTGGCCCTTTGCGGCCGCGTGGTCGTAGCCCTTCGGGTGAGAAGCCTTGCCTAGAGCACGGCGAAGGCTCTGCAAAAACTTCTCGTTTTGCCCTGGGCTCAGTGACGGAAGGCCTTTCCCTGCGCCCTTGGACATCCCCAACGACTGGTTCATCGCGAAGCCTGGCATCGTGGTGACTTGTGCCATACATCACCGTCTTCCTCGCTACTGCCGTTTCCGACCTCCGCCGTTCCCGGCAGCTGCAGCCATCATGGCCATCATGGGGTTAAACCTGCACAGAAACCAACAGAACCGCAACAAAAGAACTCTGGCAGCACAATCAGCAGCTTACAAAACTGGCCGGCAAAGCAGACCCATACCTGGCCTCAGCAATCAAGCGATCAAGTCGTGAACGATGTGTGAGCATCATCAGAGAAACATCACTCATACTTCGGAAAGATCATGTCAATCTTTGCCTTTGTTTTGATGCGATATAGAATATAGAACTCTACAATTTTGCAGCAGGTGCGATGACTGTCACAGCAAAACTCAGGTTTTAGTGTGTGAACGGAGATGTTCCTACGACTTTGTGCGCCAGCAAAGCTCTTGGCACGGCAAATCTCTCCGCAGACTTCTGCCGTGCTCGACTACATGCGAAGGTTCATTCTTGAGACCTGGATCCAGTACGGTCGAAATTCGTGCAGCATCTCTGTGCTCCCCACCACTGTCCCGCATTTGGCTTTGGAGAGCCAGTATCATCGTCATCGTCATCCTGGTGGGGCCGTGCGAGTAGCAACACCACCTACACTTCGGATGACTGTCGGGGACCGGACATCTTCCTGTCTTCTCCTTCCTGGCTTCATCGGATCGGACCTTTTGCACACCTGCGACATGCCAAACCTACCTTCCATCGCTTGTCCTCACATCCTGGAATCTAGGTGGCGTTTCCGGCTTTGTCGACTAAGGCACGAACAGCGTACTGTACGGATCAGGCCTGCTCGAAGGCGTCCATGGAAGCTTGCCGCTTTCTCTCCCGGTCCTTGACAGCTCTACTTCCTGCTTGCCTCCGCCGGCGTGTGCAAGCATGGCGTTCGCACCCTCAGCCTAACTTCGCAACTACACCTAGACTCTACACTCGACTGACTCGGTGGTGGGTCGAAAGGTCGGCTTGTGTCTTTGCAGAAGAACACGTCCTCCTCTGCCTCTTGCTTACTTCTCCGTTCCTGCAAACGCAGTATCCAGGCCTCTCTCTCAGGGTTGGGATCACATACACCTGGCCTTCTCTCGTTCCTTCTCCTTCTCCTTCTCGCGATCTTTCTCTTCTTTCCCTCAGTGCCGCAGACGTATAGAATAGAATACCACTGATGGATATGCTCGACACTCAAACACAGGAGGACCAAAGCTCCAAGAGCGCTTTGGAACCTTCTTAGGCCACTGACTTTTCCGCTTTCTCTCCTGTCGCTCCTCCAGCCGAGTTTGCAACTCCGTGCTTGCGTGTTCGAGATACCGTGCTGTAAAGGGGAACCATCCAAAACCTACGCACTGAGAATCTGCTCCTGGTAACAGGGAGCACCTACGACGACTGTTCCCACCTTCTGGTGGAGACCGAAGCTTCACGCTTCATATCTCATGCCCTGAACCTGGAGGAAAAATCGAAGTCACACAAGCTCCTCCTCTTCGAGTCGAAGTCTCTCCTCCTGGCAGTCCAGGTGCATCCACAGAATCCACTCTTGGAGGGTAGAAGAAGACGTGTCACAAAAGCAGAGTGCGCCGGATGTGGTGAGGCAGGTGCTCAAGGCGCAGGGGCAAAAAAGATAACCTTCCAGTGTGGCCAACACCAGCCTCTTCAGCGGCTTCTTTCTTCCGCCTCTCCACCAGCCTTGGAAAGGACACAAAGAAGCCCTGGGTCGCTGGCTCTGGCCTGGAACCCCGCCTGGCACGCCACTCCTCCTCTTCCTTGAGACGTTGCTCCTGACCAGTCTCCAGGGCAAGGAAAGGAAGCCTCATCACGGATTAAACAAACTTGGAAAACCTGTACTGTAAAGGCTTCCTTTCAAGTCTTGAAGCTTGGAGAGGGGCGCCTCATGATCAAGACTCTTGCCGCCTACACCTCTGAAAATACAGAACTTGAACCGTGACCAGTCTGCGAGCTAGTTTCAGAGAGGCCCGGCTGTGGGGGGCATCTGGCGAAACCCTGCAATCAAACCCGAGGCGAGAAGCAAGCATGAGAGCTGAGAGCTACATTTGCAGCGAAGCGAAGTGAGTAGCGACTTTGCGGCAAAGACCGTCCTCCGCCTCCTTCTTCCTCTGCTCAAAGGCAGCCTGCACCTGTCATATTTGCACTGCCGATAGCCTCGAAACAGACCAACAAAAGGTCGTTTTTGATGTCGTCTCAAGGATGTACATGAAAATGGATAGAGGACTGATACGGGCGTGGAGGTAAGCAAACAAGTGTAAACGAGGCAAAACGCAAATAGAATATAGAGACGGGGACATGAGAGGGAGCGAGCTAGCGAGCGAGAAAAAGAGACACAGAGAGACAGAGAGAGAGAGAGAGACAGAGAGAGAGACAGAGAGAGAGAGAGAGAGAGAGAGCGAGGGAGGGAGGGAGGGGGGAGGGAGAGGGGAGAGAGAGAGAGCGAGAGCGAGAGCGCGAAAGGCCGGCCTTCTGACGCTCGATCTCCTGGGCCGCTTTTCGCCGCTGCTCCTGGTACTCGGCGGTTGGGGGAAAGTGTTGCTCATCGAAGCTTTTTTGCAAGCACTCTGTGTAGCAAGCTGCATGGCTGCCTCCTCTTGCTGCTTTTTACGTCGCTCTTCTTCTTCGCGTTCTGCCCTTCCGCGGTGACTGCACAGCAAGCAAAGCCTCTACAAACCGCGAGAACGGCTGAGGCTTGCACGCCAAAACGGCCTCCTAGAACCAAGGAGCATCACTCGAAATGAAATGCAATGTTGACTCCCGACCACCGCCTGCGTTGCGATGACGCGGCGACGCTCTTGCTCCCAGACATCCGGGGTCCTGAGTGCAACAAAGCCGAAATCTTTCGGGGAGCTCTACCTCCGCTGTCCTCGAACGTCGCCCGGTTCGTCGGCTGCGGCCCTCTTCCTGGCGGCCAGGCTGGTTGATGGGGTGGCACTGCGGTGCTGCGAGAGCCCGATACTTAGACACCAGAAGTGAAAAAGCCAGCTGCACCAGCTCGGGAGGGTCCTCGTCACTGCTCTCCTGCCCAAGAAGCACAACTTTCCACTCAGACCGTAGATTCGAAGAGCACAGACTGCTAGGGCTAGGGTCTGCGAGGTCTCTTGCAGAGGTTCCTGACCAGGTTCAGGACCTCTCAGAGGACAGTCAGGCTGTCCAAGCAGCAAGAAATGCACCTGCTGCAGCTGTGCAACGAGCCAAAATTGGAAGAGGTTCGCGGTAAACGCGGCACTTAGAGCCCCACACTTTTCCAAACTGCACTATCCGATTCGAAGGTCGCGATCACCACGGACCTAAGCACGTTAGAGGGAGGATGCTGTCGAAACTCACCCAGGATACAGCGACGGGGACACGCTGGGTACAGAGGGAACTGTTTTCGGGTCAAATTAGTGTCTGCCGTCTGGGGCTCTGCTTTCTGAGCTCAAAGCTTGGCGTGGTCCACCTTCGTGATCCTCACCGGCAAGAGTCGCTTCAGCGACATCGAGAACCAGTTGCAACGCTTGCCTGCCGTTGGATTTGGGGCACTGGAACCACATCTCCCAGCATATCACAGCATTCGTGCCATTCGCCACTTCGCACCTTCTCTGACCCAGGCAGGAAGTGAAGGCTCCGGAGGCTCCTCGCAGTTTTAAGTACGAGCGGTAATGCAAAGTCTCGAGATTCTCAAAGTGCGGAGTCCTGTGCAGGTGCTTCGGTCTTCGGCTGTGGAGCCACTTCTTCAGTCTCTCGCGCGCTGGGAGCTGCTGTTTCGCCACCTGTCACCAGCACCACATCCTGCCAACAGTGTGCCAGAAACGCAAAAAGGATGACAAAGACAAGGATAGACCTGACTAGCACCCGGTCCTCATCATCTGACTTGATCTCTGCGTCTACCACCTCTTCGCCCTTCGGTGGCTCGCTGTCCTGCAGAGAATGCGCCGACTCAGGCAAGGTCTTCTTGCGAAGCCCCGAGCCCGAGTACTCCTCCGCCTCCTTCTGCTGCTTCGACTCTGAAGCTTGAGGCTGTGGAGGCTCTGGAGGCTCTGGCTCTGGAGCCCTGGGAGGAGGCTCCGGCTCCCGAACCGGGACCTGGAAGCACGGTGACCCGGCACGCAGCACGCGGTCGCTTTCGCGCTTGCGCGCGCCTTCTTCGGGACCGCTGCCGCCACGGCTGGCGGCTCCCCCTCGGCCACGCCCTGCCTGAGGATGCGAGGGTGAAGCCGTCACGGAGACACGGAGGCTCGCATCGCTTGCAGCTGGGCTTCTGGTGCTTCCGGTCATCACCAACCTCAGTGGCCCAGCTCTCGGAGCCCACGGTGATATGATGGTTGCCATCTTCAGGCAGGAAGGCTTTCGGGCCGACCATTTCTCCGGAGCCCCGGGGGAAACTGCGTCGCCGACTTCGGTAGGCGACGGCGCAGATATGGGTTTAAAGGGCATCAGATGCAAAACATACGGATAAGCATTCATCTACACTTCACCTTGAAACCAGTTGTAAGCCTGAGTCGCCATGTTCTGGCAACGGGTGACACAGAGGGACTGAACCTCTCCTGGCCTAGTCATTTAAGATCCGCGTGCTTCGCCACAGTGCTGGACACTATCATGCAGGCTCCTGATACACTACGACAGGTTCAGAGACCAACTGTACTCGTCGCGACCGTGACAAGCAGGAAAGTAATTCAGGGAACTTCGAGCAGCCCTGGTTTTGCCAGAGGCAGAGAAGAAAGGCGACCTCATCCAACACGGTGGCCTGCTACATATCTAAACATCAAAACACTTCTTCAACATAGTCACCACATGCCAATTCGGCAATGCGTTCACACTCTTCTGGATTTCCCTCGAATGCCTGCAGCAAGAAGGCTGGAACCGATTGTCCGTTCGCGAAATCTGCTGCAGTCCAACCACGTAAGTTGCGCATGTCAAGCTTTGCGCCGGCTGCTACAAGAGCTGCAGCACCCCCATATTGCGATGAATTAATGGCCAGCATGAGCGGCGTGGCTTTGGGAACATGGTGCAGCGTTCTTGTGGCAGCAGTGGGTTTGCTATACCGATGCTGAAAAGACTTCAGGAGAGTCAAACAGCCGAAAGACTTTGAATGCTTCCAGACACTGCGCGATCGGTTCACATCGGCCCTCAGAGCCACCAGGCGCTGCACGAGCTCTGCACTCCCGCCACGATGCAACATGGCACAATACAAAGCATCTGAAGCATCCATGGATGAACCACCTCGGCCGATAAGCTCTTCCATGGCTGCAAGCGAGCCACAAGCACTGGCCGACTCAAATGCAGAGATGCCGAAAAGGTTGCGCACATGCGGGCAGCACCCAGCTTCGCAAAGAATCCGAATGCCTTCGGAATTGTTCGCATCCGCCGCACAGGTCATGGCTGGCCGCACGTAGTCTCCAGTACCATTCACGTTCGCCTTCGCTGAGATCAGCAGTCGCGCTGCATCGTTGTGGTGATAGAACAAAGAAATGGCCAGTGCTGAAGTCAAAGGCGGCATACCTACTCGCGGCTGGTCGCCCTTCGTCATCGAATTAGGATCCGCCCGCTCCATAAGTAAGGCCTTGATCAAGGAGGAATCGCCCCGAAGAGCTGCGTAGTGCAAGGGCGACCATCCAGAACGGTCCCTCTCGCGTACTCTTGCGAAGCCATGTTGATACAGGAATTTCATGGCAGTGCTCGTGCTCGGCTCCAGGTTACTGATTCCCTCCGCCGGAGGGCCCAAGTCGGGGACCGGCTCGAAACAGGGCTCAGCCCGAAGGCCTTTGAGGTACACGGCCTGCAAGTTCAGCAGCAGCCGGTAGCTCACCTCGGCCCGCGGGCATCCTAACATCCTGAGGATGGAAATGGCAAACATCATGAAAACCTCTGCTTGCAGCACAGGCACAAAATCTTGGTCCCTAAGAAGGAAATAGAGCTTCCGCCGAAGAGCTTGAGCAAGGACTGGAGCTAGTTGGTCACGGTCCTCTGCCCTGGTAAACTGTCCTTCCCCAGGTGGCCCTCCGCCAACCGAGGCTTCTGCACCATGTACCAGCTCGATGTTCGCGGAGCTTTTCACGATGATCCAGGACTCCTTCTCGCTGAGCTCCCGAAACGCCCTCTCAACTCTGCACCAACCTTCCAGGGCTACAGCAAGCGGACTCCCACGAAAGTAAACACGGAGTGCCTGAACTTGCGACCCAAGCGTTTGCAATTGGCGGGTTTCTTCGCCGTTGCTCGGTGACATGGCTAACTGCGGACTTGAAAAACTTCCAGGGCTTCTAGGGTTGTCGGCGCCGGAAACAGGCCCACAAGGTAAACTTCAAAACGTCTGAAGCATGACCCTTCCAGCCTCGTTGTGCCCAGCTGCCGGGAGTGAAGACTTTGGAACGGCTGCTGTTTTCCACGACCGGGCACAGCGCAACAAAGAACGAACACTCAGCTATGTATGCAGGGATGCTGCGTATGGCATTGGCGAGGTCGCCCGTGTCTTTGCCATTCCGCCCAAAATCCAGCTGTGGGCAACAGAAGTAGTCATACCAGGCAAACAGAGGCGAGGAACGAAGCTCTGACGTAGGCAAGCCTTTGGCACCAGGCGTCATTACCTCTGTTACAAGGTCCACCGGTATTTGCTGCAAATCTGACATGGCATATGACAAGGCATCCTGAAGAACCTTCAGCTGCTTCAGCTCTGGGTCTGGATGTTGGAACCCGATCCACTGGTGGGAAATAAACAAGGCCTTGCCCAGGCTCCTGCAGAAGTTTACAAGACGATCCGTCGCCTTCAGCTCCTCGTAAGGTGCCATCTCGGTCATCTGCAGTAGTGTGTCCACACTGACGGTGTACATCGGAAAATGCATCGAACAGCCGTTAGGTTCCTCTGTCAGCATCTGCAGGGATTTGGCATGTTCGACCAATGGGCTCAGCTTGGGAGCTGCGCAGCATGGCATCAGAAGTCAGGAGCTATGCGATCTGTACAAAGTGTCTGTGATACGATGGCCCATAGCATCGACCTTGGGCATTGCAACGGGGGCCGACGAAGACGAGCATCTCAGATTTCCGTTTCTGGCAGGCAACATCGCGACATGTCGATGCAGCCTTTGAGTGTCACGCTCCGTTCTTGGCCTTCTCCTTCCTGCAAGGCATGCAGGATTTACTAGGTAAGGACCGCTCCTGCTACCCCAGGCAGTATCTCAAGCTTTTCTTGAGTCCTTCCGTCCCTGCTTCTGGACCTTGCCTGCTTTGTGGCTGGCTTGTCCTGGCTGTGATGCATACTTTACGTCTGGTAGGCCATGGCAGAGCCAATGCTGGTTTGCAAGCAGGGTACAAGAACTCCGAGAACCGGAACGGACTGTGTTCTAGCCCCAAAGCACCACACATCAAGAACCGATTTGCATATCGACTTCCGGGCAATGGGAGGACCAAGAAAAGGGGAAGCAACTGATTCTGGATCCGGACGCGGTCTGCGCGGGTTTTCTGCACGGCCCCGAAGGTCTCCAACTCAGATCTGACTCTACACCGTCCTTCTCCTTGCTCGGCTTCTCCTTCTTCTCTTTCCTGCAGAAGTGCTACTCCTAACTTCAAGCAATTCGTGCACAGAGAGAAGTCAGCGGGACGTGAGGAGATGCCACAGCAAAGCTGCCACAACCAAGGTCAGTGCTGAGCAGTCTTCTTTGTAGGCTCGTCGTCGTCCTGAATGCATCGGGAACCACCAGACAGAATCGCTGCATAAGGTACAGATGGATCTCCGGTCCTTGCTTGCCTTTTTCTTGAGGTCTTCCTCGCACAACCGCAGAGACTCGTCAGGTCTGAAGAATCAAAGCAAGAATTTTGCTCTTCGACTGCCCTGCCTTTGCCTTCTTGGGCGATTCCACTTTCTCCTGCTTCTTCGCTTTCTCGGCTTCCTTACGCTGCTCACTCATTGTGGTACTCAATGCGATGCATCGTTCCAGCCCTCTAGGGACCTCCGCTTTCTTCTTTGCTTTCGCCTCTTCCTCTCATCCCAGCAAAGAAGATTAGGCTAGCGGCTAGCGGCTAGCGGCCAGCGGCTAGCGGCTGGACGAAGGCAGTCCTTCTTTCCAGCACGTCTTCTTTTCTTGGCCGCCTTCTCTTCTCGGATCTGCCTTGCCTTGGCCGCCTCTTCCTCGCTGGTGAGACGCAGGCCGATGGTGCGTCGCACGGCATCCTCAAGGAGCCAAGAGACACTCCGCCAACATTGAATCCAACATTCCAACATATTCCAACATCCAACCTCCGGCCGGCCGGCTTTGTTCTTGACTTTCTGCGGCATTACAATCTGCTTTCCTTCCGAGAAAGGCCTCAAAGTGAGGAGCTGCACAGCTCTTCCCAACACCCGTGAGTCTCTCCCAATGCAAGCCAGCAGACACATCTTCGCTACGCTGCAGCCATTGCACTTCGTCCTCACTTCCTCCTAACACAACGTCTCAGCACTGCTCAGCAGTGCTCCAGAATCCAACTTACCCACGGCCTTCTTCTTGAAGTCCAGTTCCGTTTGCGGAGACATCTCGCACGCACAGCTGTGGTTCAGCCTGTCAGGAAGATACCGCCCAGAACCCAGAATGCCATGACCTGACCACCTCGTGCTGGCCTCGCTGTCTCGCCGCAGCAGACGGATCTCTGCATGGACCCAGGAGACGCCGAGGTGATTGACAACCTTCTCCAAACGGCAACGTTCCCCGGAAAATTGTCAGGTTTTTTTGCCGAGTTTGGCACCAGTCCGCCCTTCGGGCATCGGCCGATCTTAACCTGGGGAGCAGCTGCGCAGAAACAGGCAAAAGGCACACGGGGCATTACCGCGTAGGCGCTTCGAGGATAAGGCACACGGGAGCAAACAGAGAAAAGCAAAGGTCTTGGCCTCACTTCCTGCTTGCCACGAACTACGACTGTATCTTCACCGACAACCGCAATTGAATTTCCGACAGTCTGTCGGACACGAAGCAAGATGCTCCCAGAGCAGAGGGCCGTGCCACTGTGTGCTCTTCGTCTCCCTCGAGCTGCAACTCGCAGTGGACCTCTTCCTGCCGATTGTGGGAAAGCGTCGCTTTGTCAATCCCTCCCAGCCGGGGAAGCCCAACCTCGCCGTCCAGCTGCAACGCGAAGGCAAGAGCCTCCATGGCTGCTACCTGCTCATCAGTGCAGCCATGCTGCCCTGCTGAAGGCACTGGGAAAAGCAGACAAACCCCACTCCATGAGTGCATGACCCACAACCCCAAGAAGCAATTGAACCCCTGAAAGCTGTTCCACCTAAACCTTGTAAGGCGGTCTTGACTCAGCTCCTAAGACACCTCAAGGCTTAACCGACGGAGCAGGAAAACACAGCTAAATCCTCAGGGCTCACCATTGAAGAACCCCGAACAACCACATTGTCGACGCGATCTTGTTTATAGCTGAGAACCTCGATCGCGATTCAATGCAAGGTGGCACCATGTCCTGCAGCGGGCATGAAGATCTCTTTGCTTCAGGCTCTAAAGATGGTTGAACCAGACCAAGTCCCCATGGTGGAGCTTGGGTCTAACATCAGCCAAATCAAGCAGCACCCCACGGATGACGCCTCCAAGCACAGAGTCCAATGAGGAAGGCATGGCGGCAGGCTCAACATCCCGTGACTCTATGCTCGGGGATGTACTGGATGGAATCTTAATGGCTGGGGCTAGGGGGGTTGCGAGCAGGGCTGGCAGGCCCGTTTGAAAGAAGTACAGTGTGCTGGATAAGCGTTGGCTCCAGGTGATGGGAATTCTTCACACTTCGTGGCCTTCTTGTGTATCTGCGCAGAATACTCTTGCTCGTGACATGAGAAGGAGATGAGAGTGCCCCAGGGTTCTGCAAAGGCGCTGCTACCCCAGTAACGGGCAGGGGCAGGCTTGCAGAAGGCTTTTGCCGCGATTCAGCATGCTTTGCTGAAGCTTTGGCAAGTCTGGAGTCTGGAAGCCAGGGGTTTCCTCACCTTCCAGCACTAACCTCAGCATTGCGATCAGGTCAGCTGCAAGAGATCAGAACGGCAGGCGCAACTCTGAGACGGTGACTGACACGCAGGCACTGACACTCGATACTGTCACAGCTTCGACCTCCATCGACAACCAGCTTCTTACTCACATAAGTCTTTGCTACATAGGCACCTCCGCATGATGGAGAAGAAAAGCGTCGGAAAGAGGGTGCGTAGCAGGCGAGCCGCTCGAGCATCCAGAGCAGCAGGGACCTGGGCGCGAATAAGTCGAAGCATCATAAGCCCAAGAGCTTCTGTGCAGCTCAGACTGCCGGGCCATCTCTGCTTTCCGCCGCGCGATTGCCGCGAGGACTTTCGGTGCCAACACATCCGGAGCCACGCCTGGAGCAGCGCGCCAGCGGGCTGGAGGGGATTTCGCAATAGTCGTGCGGTTCTTTATGACTTCACCGCGGGCCTTTGATGTCGGGCTCCACGTGCACCCCATCGCTTCTGGCGGCGTTTCGTGCATGTTCAGTGGCCTCAAGCAAGTGGGCAACTCGGGACGTGAAATACCGGGGCCGCCATCAACTACCGATTCAGACCGGCACTATGTACCCCGGGCAAACAGTGGTTACCTTGGCTGTACTGCCCATGGGATGGCGACACGGAAGCTCAAACGGTGGAACATGCAGCAGCCTTGTGAAGCCAGGTCACAGCTATGCCGTTGTCTGCCACCTCTGCCCGCAGCGAGTCATAGAAGCCGACGGCAGCATGCTGTCAAGTTTGAGACGGCTAAAGACGGCTCACAAGCTTACGCAGACTCCATTCAAAAAAGCTGCACGTGAGCCTTCGCAGCTGCATAGGCGGTTCGACCAGGCAAGCCGAAGAAGGCCTGCAACGTAGCGCTGACCGGAGATGCTACGTCGTCGCAGCGCCTGCCTGGACCGATGAGATTTGCACGACATGGCCGCTTCGCCTGCAGAGACAGAAGCACCCGGAAAAAGAACCTTTTGCTGCTCTTTAACAGGGACATCTCCGGTCAGTCGCCGCAAAGGATCAGCCCTACTAATCTCCATCGACACTTCTCAACAGTACTCATTACAGTATTATTCATCATGCTGTGGTTGATCAGGGACATCCTGGTCAGTCGTACAGCATGGTCCAGGTTGCATAACATGGCTTGTTACCAACATGTCCTGTCAGGCCTGCTGCCTTCAAGACTATGCTGCAAATTGATTCACAGCCCGGCCTTCGTTTCCTGATTAAAACAAGTAACAAGTGTTGGCCAATGCCAGTTTGCTGCGTTCAAGGTCTGTCCGTCAATTTGTTCCATTACAGAAGTCTTTCTTGAAGCATGGGACCTCCATCTGCCCATCACCCACGGTTAGTTGCGTGCGCTGTGCGGCCACGCTATCCGGCTCTCTTTACTCTGAACGTAAGAACCCCAGAGTTACCGCCCTGCTGTCCCCTACCCCGAAGTCGGCTGTCGGTATGATAAACCCAATCAGGCCTCCTAAGCCAGTCTGGAAGGAGGGCTTTCAGCAGGATCACGCCACTAAAGAAGTCCACGTTCATCACGTGTTGGTCCGTCTTCAAGGCTCCGCAGTTTTACGGCTCAGCGGAGGATGCGACGGTCACCAACCCGCCCTGCCTCAATCGACGTCTCTTGGCCGAGGCCTCTAAATCCGACCCCACCGTTGTTCACGAGGACATCGACACGCCCGAAAAGACCTGAGAACGAGAAGCAGAAAAGGAATCAGTCATGGAATCGAAAGCTGGGCCGAGGCACCTTTCGCCTGTTCGGCTGCAGGCTGTAACCTCGAAAGGTCAGAAAGATCCAGCGGCAGCACCTCGCTTTCATGAGCACCGCTTCTTTCAGGATTCGCAAGAAGGGTCGCTCAGGTCCCTTGCTTCTGTCTTCAGATCTGGAAGCAGCTCCAAGCATCTGAGCCTCTGGATTCCCCATGCATCCCGAGAAGGAATCTTTCAAGGGGGCCAAGATGCACCGAGGTCCTGACCTAACCCTTTCCAGCTCATCCTTGCGACGAGCACTCAGGATCAGCCCTCCAGGCTTCGCCTCGGCTCCCGCGGCCGGCAACCCAACGCTCCACGGGATGCAATCGATTTTGCCAGAATCAGCCGTGGCTCCGCCTGACAGAGAGCAATGCATAGTGCCTCTCCAAAGCCAGCGGAGGCTCCCGTCACCCAAACTACCTCAGCAGCTCTGCGCGGCTCTCACAGCCACAGTGGAACCAGCCAACATTCCCTCGATGCCTTGTCTGAGAAGTATTCCTGAGCAGGCGTTGGCTCTGCACAGGTGTAATGAGGGAAGCACTGCGCAGGGCGACAGGGCCTCCATCACGGCCATGTCTTTGCCATGGCGAGCACCCAGGAGCAATCCCATCCGACACCTGCGAGATCTTTGGGCAACTCGAAGAGACACGGCGGTCACCAGCGGTGCTGTGGCCTCGATGAATTCGCTCAAAGCTGTGAGCGCGGTGCGCGAGGATGGTGCGTGCAGTGGCACGCACACACCCTCACCCGGAACTTGGAACGACCTACGCTTTGACGGGACTCGACACACGCTATCCAGTCAGCACACGCGCCTTTGCCCTTACTCCTCTTGCAGTGTCCTGAGAATGGAGCAGAAATCGAACGGCAGAACAATGCATGGAAAATCCTGCAAAGCATGCAACAGACTCAGGCGTCAACCCGAAAACAAAGGCGACGCACTGCGCGAGGCGAAGGGATGATGACAAACTTGAGCTGTACATGGTGCCCTTTCTCTAGCAGAGTTCGAAAGCATGTCTCAACAATTCTGGTCAGCAATCAAGCAATGTGCCGATGGGAGCACGGACGGGGGATGGTGCACATGGCAAACCCTGGAACAAGCAACCTGGTAACAAAGTCAAGCCTGGGAAGGCTCAAACACTTGCAGGCAACTGTTTTCAGGACCACAAAGTCATGAAAGAATGGGCCGTGCTGCGCGATCTCTGCTTTGAGCATGGAGCAACTTCGCATCTTTGTACAGTAGTGCCCATGGTTCTTCACTCGATTGAGTCAGCGACCTTGCTCAGGTAACAGGCGGCTATGTACGACAACACAGCAATCGTCGGGGCGGCTGACGAAGAGTCGGCAGTATCGTAGTATCATGTCTGAGGCTGTTGGCAGACTGCGAGTTCTCATCCGCAAGCATTGCCTGCAAGGAGGGAGCAAAATGCAACTCCCGCAGCGATAACACCAGCATCGGGTGGCACACCTCCCTCATGAGCTGCTCCAACATGTCTCCCAGAAGAGCAGCATTGTGGTTCCTGGAAGTTTAAGCACACGAACGTGGAACCTGCTTCACATCTCCCTGCTGTAATCTAGGAGCTGCACCTCTCTGGGAAGTGATCTGCTTCGAGCGTCAGAACGCCAGTTTTCTGGACGGGATCATGGAACGACGTTTTCTGCATTGCTGTCCCAGTCCGCCAGAGATACCAAACCATGGTTGTCATGATATGTCATATCCGATCATCCACAAAACCTACTATCCCCGCTGCGTTGATGCTCTCATGCTTCATGCCTCGCAGACCCGGTGATGGCCCACGATGTCCACCAGGCGCTCCTTCTGCCTGGCTGAAGCTCAGGCATACAGAGCACTGGAGCCGTTTAAGTCTTCGGAGTGGGAGCTTGATCGTCTCTGGTTATGGTCCAAGATCCCTGACATCCCTGCATGCGAACCTCAGGCTTGAAAGCTGACAACATCTCCTTTTCCGACGGTCCATACTACGCAGAGGATACTGGGCTCTCCATTGTGTACTGGGGTCTTAATACGGATGAGGTCGATAAAATATTTTTGTCGCACGCACCTGTGGAAGCTCAAAACAAAGAAGGACGAACCAAACCATGTTCAAGCCCTGATGCTGAAAGCAAACACTAAACCCTAAAACGCCTCTACACTTGGACGGTGCTGATCATATGGAAATCGAAAACCACTTGCACAAAGGCGTCACTCCTTGTATCACAGTATGCGCAAACGACCACAGGAAAGGAAACCTAGCCCCGACTCCAGAAAGAAATGTGCTTTGCCGAAGCAAAGTTGAAGCGCACTATCGCCACTACCACCGCCACAACCGGTGCTAAGCTCAAGGTATGCGAGTGGAAAAGACTCGCCGTCTCGCGCATGCATTGCGAGCATATGCACACAACACTGGGGCGTCACTTCGACATCTAGTACACACTAACACATTGTGACGGCAGAGCCTCATTCCTTTATTTCTCCAGTTCCGCCCTTTCCATGCCTTACCCGGAGCCTTGCCCTGCAATGCTTATCTTCAGGAGAGAAACCTGGAAAACAAGAAACACCCACCTCTGGGTCAGTGGCAGGTCGCAAAGGCGGACCTTCAGAACTTGGATTTCAATTTCAGGTCACACCATGTCATTCACAGCAGAACTACAGGGGCACGACCGCCACGGTGCACCCAACCATGGAGCCCTCATACCTGAAGCGAATTGCGGGCAGAACGCGAGTTGCAGCTCACAGAGCTCGCACAGCTTGACTGGCGCTGAACACCTGTGAGAGTAAGCCCCAGGCTCGTTGGGTTCGTCGTAGACCGTCGGAGGCCCCCAGTAGACCTGCCCAAGTGCAGAGTGACCACGCACCGCCGTGGATTCCTGCAAACCTTGTAGCTGAGGGTGTGTGGATATCTGAAGCGGATGTGGTTCGCCGAGCGAGGCAGATTTGAGGAGTCCTGAGCTGTGCGCTGTACACACTGCTTTCGGACGGCTGGGGAGCCGTGTGTCCTGCAGGTCTGTGAGGGGCGTGAGGAAGCCTAGTCTGTTGACCTCCTCTGTCGGATTGTCGTGCGTGAGCCTGCAGGCAGCTGAGCGTTGTCGCCGGACCCCCCACAGTCCTCATGTAGGCTTGCAGCGAAGAGTTGGGGTTCGCGCCCAGCTATTCTCATCACCCGGTAGTTCGTGTAGCGCGTCAGATCCTCCAGACTCTGTACTTGCTCGTCAATGCCACCCCTGCGGCAGCACTGCTGCCTTTTTTCGTCGGATGTTGTGCCGACCTCATGAGGTAAAGCCACCAGCGGATGCTCAGAAGGCAAGGGTTCATTGAGTTACCCTCGCAGGGAAGGTCAAACGACGAGGCCAGGCATAGCACACGTTCAAAACCCAAAGCTGGAAGCTAAAAGATTTACAACATGCTGCCGGGGTTTGTGTCCCTTCATGAGTCCTGAGAAGCTTGGCCCTTCGGGCAGCAGACCACCTCTAAATTGTACAGGCTTCAGAGTTGTTTATAGATTTAACGAGGCAATCCACAGGATGCACAACCAACTCCAAGTGGCATCATCGCACTACGTAGCTGTGCCTGATTCACCTGATTCAACCCAACCCCAAGAAGTTCGCTGTCTGCCTGTCTGGCAATCCGGGATACCAGAAACCAGCTAAGTAGGTTGTGGATGCTTTCCATACCACCCCACACCCATGGACCGCTCGCCAAGTTGCATCAGAAATTAAGTGAAATGCGCAATCGAACTCCAGCGTTGGCTTGAGTCTTGAGTTGCACAAAAGAGGTCTAAGGTCTAATGATGCTTGCAGGGACACGCATAAAGAAAGAGCTGTGGACGTGGTAAGGCATCGGCCATCTGACGTCAAGCCACGCATGTGGCGCCGGATGACCATACTCATCTGGTGTGGACTCTCCTTATGGGTCCCCGCATGTCACAGTCTGCATGAAGTGCGAGCATTCCGATGGCCCGGCGGGGTGCATCACGTTGTCGAAGATCCGCTCCATTCTCGGTCCACCACTGGCTGCCTGCCGCAGCTCGCATATGCGCTTCAACATATTGCACTACCAGATTTCAACTGACTTGACACGAGTACCACTTCTTCCAGGAACCCTCTCACAAGGCGACAAATGTCTCGCAGTGCAGCTGGGGATTTCTATTGAATCCAAGCCCCTGTCTGGTTCCGAGCTTTTGCGTACCCGGCAAGAGCTCACAGACTTCAGCTGCGTCATGAGGCGAGCTGGGAGGGATTGCCAATTGCCAGGTCGTGCGACACAGCGCAAACACAACAAAAGTGACTAACAACGACTACCACACACCTATACACTGTTCGGTGGATTGCAGTTTTCAAACTTGGATGCTGGTGCTCTTTGGTGCCCTTCTGGCCTTCTGCTCCTCAGTGCGATCCGCACGCTTCGGCTTCTTCTTGCGCTTGTTGCCCTTCTTGGCCCATCGCACTTGCAGGGGTGCCTCGGCGGCTCGGCTCCCGTGCGATTTCAGACCTCTCGGAGCCGCTCAGCGGCTCAGCGGCTCTCCCTGGCACCCGGCCGTCAGGCCAACGAGCCCTTGCGGCAAACCTCGCTGGCATCACTCGAGTCTTTCGAAGGGAAGAAGGCACGTGCTCCGGACGACGCACCTGGAAGAGACTCCGCAGAAAGACGAGCTGCACTAACGGCCGCCCGCATGCCGGCCAAGCTTGTGACGCTGGTGTTCCAGAGCAGTAGGCAAGTGTGATGTGACCCCTGCTGCGATTGTCCAACGTTCTTATGCGAGGGCTTCTTGATGCTGTGGGACGGTTGAGCCGGACATCGCAGTCCAGTAGTCCCATAAATCAACATGTTCTAAGTTCTGCGATACACCCAAGGCCATAAGACTGACCGTCAAGCTGCAAGCTGCAGCGGAGCATCTCCATTGCTAGAGTCTCGAGCCTTGCAAGCGGGTCCGGTCCGTGTCCTTTCGGATGCAGCATACAGGCATAACACTCTGGCGTCACTCCCGACGTGACAAATGACAAAACAAACGTTTTGCTGATGGCAACACAGCTGCCACAGTCGACGGTAGCTACTCTCTAAGTTGAAAAGCCAGCTAGTGGCACAAGACAACGCTTCTGTAGCATTTGGGGTGAAACAGAAAACCGTCGGCAAAGCCTTTTAGAGAGCAAGAACACAGAAGTAATTGCTGATTACTCTCTCAGTATCTGGAAAGAAGACTCTTAGCTCCACAGCAGAGCTAAGAGCAGAAGGCCGAGAGCCTTTGGAGGGCAGCCGGCGGCTGGTGCAGGCTTGGCTCAACAGAGCAATCCCACAGAACGCGGGGTCTCCGATGAAGTGATAACTTGGGATTCTAAAATGTCTAGCGCGATAGGCTGCTAGCACTTGGTGCCACTGTTACCACTCACCGGGCACGAGAGCTTCAGCAAGCGGGCACTGCTGTTGGTCTCGCACCCCTCCTTCAAAAAGTTTTATGCGGTCCAAGAGCGAAAGGAAACTGTCACCTCACGGTTGATGATCGCCTGCCGTCAGGAGTCACATGCAATTGCTACCCAAAGCCCAAGCACAGAACGCTTCCCGCCCTTCCTTCGTCCCCCCTTGCTTGGCCTGAATACAAAAAGAAGCCAAAGAGACCTTCGTCGGGGAGAGCCCCAGCCTGCTAAGGTCAACTTCAGACAAGAAGAGTCGTTCAGAGAGCTGTCACGGAGAGTGGTTCACTGCGCTGTGCCTGCTTCAAGCTCGGCACGAGTTCACCCGTCTCTTTCAATGGCACAAGGCCTGCGAGGCCGCCATCGCGGCAACAAAAAGAGAGATCGATGCTTGGAGGTCGTCGCCTGGATCTCCGTCCATGAGGCCTCCGACCTCGCAGAATCTTGCTCTCAGCCCAGGCCCCCGGGGGTTCTCTGACCGAGAGTGCCGGGCACTCTTGCCACCGATGAATACATGAGGCATGCTCGTTCGCCTGTCGAAAGCAGGTCCACACCCAGAGGCCGGCAGGTGTTAGGTCCCGTTCGGTGCTGAGGCGGAGGCCCATACAAAGCACCAAGCCTTGGAGCTACACGTTTTAGACGCTTGCCCCTAAGAGCGCATGACCCCTGTGACGCGGCTTCCGGAAAGGACACCAGAGAGTGTCTTGACGAGACACTCGGCTCGCTTCGCTGCTTGCTCGGGCGTGGCCAGGAACCACTCGTAGCCGAGGGAGATCTCAGGGCTGCGGAGTCTCCAAGCCAGACGTGCCGGGGCCTAGAGGGGCCTCGGTGTAGTCGGCGCCGACGGAGTCCAGCAACTTCTTAGCCTCTGCCGTCACTTCTAAGAGGTGATACCACGACCACCGATTCTGCGCCTCCGCCGCGAAAGGAGACCACTTGTAGGTGTAGATCACTACAGGTGCCTGGCTAGGAAAGCCAACAGAACACCCGAACACACGAACTTCTAGGTCGACGGAGACAATGCCATGCCGGGGCTGGCGGACGTGATGTCTGCTTCGATGGCAGATCGCGTAGCCCATTTGTCGTATCGTCCTGCTTGGATCGCCGCCTCTGTGGAACGTGCCATACCGTCAGCAGGAGGGCCCATGACTGAGCAAATCCAGAACCGCTGCTCGGCTTCTGCCAGCCGGAACGCGAAACGGAAAAAGCTATCAAACATCGAAGGCTAGGCCGGAGACAACACGCACGTGCAGAGTGTGTGGATTCTGGGTTGTGCTGTCCTCGATTTTGCGACTGATGTGCACGCCAAAGCTTTCAAAGTCTTCTTGCTGTTCAACCAAAAGCCCCTCTGGACGGGCTCGGTTTCTTGCTCTTCAACCACCAGCCCCTCGTGGTCCCGCTCGGTTCAAGGTGCGAAAGCCCAACAACAAGGAGTTTGCGGCTGCTGAAACCCAAGCCCCTAAACCCTAAACGAGGGCGGGTGCTGAAGCCCAGCATGTTCTATGAGAGCCTCATACAAAACTCCTGGAAGGGTAGAGGGAGTGGGTGGGAGCGAAACCCCACAGCCTAAAAGGAGTTGATGGACGCGAAAAACCATAAAAAGCAGCAGTTTCGGAAACCCAAAACCCTGACAATGGGTGGTGCAAAAACTCAAACTCCTAACCGAATTGGGGTGGAAAAATTCAAACACCGACAAGGGGGTAGCTGCTGAAACCCAAAACTCTTTGGGTGCTGGAACCCCGAACTGCAAAACGACTATGTTCTGCGACACCACACACCCTAAAAGGAGCAGCTGCTGCAAAAAAACGAACTCCTAAAAATGAAAGGAGCGCGTGGGTGCGAAACCCACGAGGCTTCAAGGATCGGGTGGGTGCCAAACCCGGCAACCTGTGTGGAGTGGGTGGTTTCGGAAACCAAAACCCTAACAGTGAGGTGACTGGTGCAAAACCCAAGCTTAACAGGCGCGGGCGGGTGCGAAACCAAACACCTTGCGAAACCCAAAACCCCGAACGGAGTAGCTGGTGCAAAATTCCACACCCATCAGTCAAAGAGTGGGTGGATGCGGAAACCAAAAGCCCTAAGCCCTAAGGCGCTGAAGGAAATGCGTGGGTCGAAACCCCGAAATCCTGAAAGGAGGTGCTGGAACCCCAAACCCAAAAAAGAGCAGCTGGTGCAAAGATCAAGGGAGCTGGTGGGTGCGGAAACCCACACCATGAAAGTGAAAGCCGTAGCTGGTGCAAAGATCCAAGGAGTGGGTGGGCGCAGAGAACCCCAAACCCTAAAAAGGAGCAGCTGGCGCAAAGATGCAAGGAGTGGGTGGGTGCAGAAACCCAAACCCCAAAAACGAGCAGCTGGTGCAAAGATCCAAGGAGTGGGTGGGTGCAGAAACCCCAAACCCTAAAAGGAGTAGCTGGTGCAAGGATCCAAGGAGTGGGCGGGTGCAGAAACCCAAACCCTAAAAGGAGCAGCTGGTGCAAAGATCCAAGGAGTGGGTGGGTGCAGAAGTAGCTGGTGCAAAGATCCAAGCAGTGGTGCAAAGATCCAAGGAGTGGTGGGTGCAGAAAACCCCAAACCCTAAAAGGAGCAGCTGGTGCAAAGATCCAAGGAATAGGCGGGTGCAGAAACCCAAACCCGAAAAAGGAATAGCTGGTGCAAAGATCCAATGAGTGGGTGGGTGCAGAAACCCAGACCCCAAAAACGAGCAGCTGGTGCAAAGATCCAAGGAGTGGGTGGGTGCATAAACCCCAAACCCTAACAGCAGTAGCTGGTGCAAAGATCCAATTAGTGGGTGGGACCCTAAAAGGAGCAGCTGGTGCAAAGATCCAAGGAGTGGGTGGGTGCAGAAACCCAAACCCTAAAAAGGAGTAGCTGGTGCAAAGATCCAAGGAGTGGGTGGGTGCAGAACCCCCAACCCTAAAAGAAGCAGCTGGTGCAAAGATCCAAGGAGTGGGTGGGCGCAGAAACCCAAACCCCAAAAAGGAGTAGCTGGTGCAAAGATCCAAGGAGTGGCTGGGTGCAGAGAACCCCAAACCCTAAAAGGAGCAGCTGGTGCAAAGATCCAAGGAGTGGGTGGGTGCAGAAACCCAAACCTGAAAAAGGAGTAGCTACAACGTCGTGCTGTGCGGTGCGTGAAAAACCGTGCGTCATCAATTCGAAGATCTGCCATGGAAGCCCCGATTAACTTTGACTACGTGCAAAGATCCAACGAGTGGGTGGGTGCAGAAAACCCCAAACCCAAAAAAGGAGCAGCTGGTGCAAAGATCCAAGGAGTGGGTGGGTACAGAAACCCAAAATGCACAGAACTCCAAACCCTAAAAGGAGTAGCTGGTGCAAAGATTCAAGGAGTGGGTGGGTGCAGAGACCCAAACCCTAAAAAGGAGTAGCTGGTGCAAAGATCCAAGCAGTGGTGCAAAGATCCAAAGAGTGGTGGGTGCAGAAAACCCCAAACCCTAAAAGGAGCAGCTGGTGCAAAGATCCAAGGAGTAGGTGGGTGCAGAAACCCAAACCCCAAAAAGGAGTAGCTGTTGCACAGATCCAATGAGTGGGTGGGTGCAGAAACCCCAAACCTGAAAAAGGAGTAGCTGTTGCAAAGATCCAAGGTGTGGGTGGGTGCAGAGAACCCCAAACCCAGAAAGGAGCAGCTGGTGCAAACATCCAAGGAGTAGGTGGGTGCAGAAACCCAAACCCTAAAAAAGAATAGCTGGTGCAAAGATCCAAGGAGTAGGTGGGTGCAGAAACCCAAACCCTAAAAAGGAATAGCTGGATCCACGGAGTGGGCGGGTGCAGAGAACCCCAAACCCTAAAAGGAGCAGCTGGTGCAAAGATCCAAGGAGTGGGTGGGTGCAGAGAACCCCAAACGCTGGTGCAAAGATCCAAGGAGTGCGTGGGTGCAGAAACCCAGTAGCTGGTGCAAAGATCCAAGGAGTGGGTGGGCGCAGAAAGATCCAGGCGGGGATGGGTGCAGAAACCCAAACCCTACAAAGGAGTAGCTGGTGCAAAGATCCAAGGAGTGGGTGGGTGCAGAAACCCAAACCCTGAAAAGGAGTAGCTGGTGCAAAGATCCACGGAGTGGGTGGGTGCAGAAACCCACACCCCAAAAAGGAGCAGCTGGTGCAACGATCCAAGGAGTGGGTGGGTGCAGAAACCCCAAACACTAAAAGGAGCAGCTGGTGCAAAGATCCAAGGAGTAGGTGGGTGCAGAAACCAAAACCCTAAAAGGAGCAGGTGCCAAGATCCAAGGAGTGGGTGACTGCAGAAACCCAACCCCTAAAAAGGAGTAGCTAATGCAAGGATCCAAGGAGTGGGTGGGTGCAGAAACCCAAACCCTAAAAAGGAGTAGCTGGTGCAAAAGATCCAAGGAGTGGGTGGGTGCAGAAACCTAAACCCGAAAAAGAAAAGCTGGTGCAAAGATCCAAGGAGTGGGTGTGTGCAGAGAACCCCAAACCCTAAAAAGGAGCAGCTGGTGCTTAGATCCAAGGAGTGGGTGGGTGCAGAAACCCAAACCCTAAAAAGGAACAGCTGGTGCAAAGATTCAAGGAGTGGGTGGGTGCAGAAACCCAAACCCGAAAAAAGAGCAGCTGGTGCAAAGATCCAGGGAGTGGGTGGGCGCAGAAACCCAAACCCTAAAAAAAGAGTAGCTGGTGCAAAGATTCAAGGAGTGGGTGGGTGCAGAAACCCAAACCCTAAAAAGGAGCAGCTGGTGCAAAGATCCAAGGAGTGGGTGGGCGCAGAGAACCCCCAACCCTAAAAGAAGCAGGTGCAAAGATCCAAGGAGTGGGTGGGTGCAGAGAACCCCAAACCCTAACAAGCAGTAGCTGGTGCAAAGATCCAAGGAGTGGGTGGGTGCTTAAACCCAACCCTTAAAAGGAGCAGCTTGTGCAAAGAGGCTGCAGGAACCCAAACCCTAAAAAGGAGTAGCTGGTGCAAAGATCCAAGGAGTGGGTGGGCGCAGAAACCCCAAACCCTAAAAAGGAGCAGCTGGTGCAAAGATCCAAGGAGTGGGTGGGTGCAGAAAACAAAACCCTAAAAAGGAGCAGCTGGTGCAACGATCCAAGGAGTGGGTGGGTGCAGAAACCCAAACCCTTAAAAGGAAGCTGGTGCAAGTATCCAATGAGTGGGTGGGTGCAGAAACCCAAACCCTAAAAAGGAGTAGCTGGTGCAAAGATCAAAGGAGTGGGTGGGTGCAGAAACCCAAACCCTAAAAAAGAATAGCTGGTGCAAAGATCCAAGGAGTAGGTGGGTGCAGAAACCCAATCCCTGAAAAGGAGTACCTGGTGCAAAGATCCAAGGAGTGGGTGGGTGCAGAAACCCAAACCCTAAAAAAAAACAGCTGGTGCAAAGATCCAAGGAGTGGGTGGGTGCAGAAACCCAAAACCTAAAAGGAGCAGCTGGTGCAAAGATCCAGAGAGTGGGTGGGTGCAGAGAACACCAAACCTTAAAAGGAGCAGCTGGTGCAAAGAACCAAGGAGTGGGTGGGTGCAGAAACCCAAACCCTAAAAAGGAGTAGCTGGTGCAAAGATCCAAGGAGTGGGTGGGTGCAGAGAACCCCAAACCCTAAAAAGGAGCAGCTGGTGCAAAGATCCAAGGAGTGGGTGGGTGCAGAAAGCCCAAACCCTGAAAATGAGTATCCAAGGAGTGGATGGGTGCAGAGAACCCCAAACCCTAAAAAGGAGTAGCTGGTGCAAAGATCCAAGGAGTGGGTGGGTGCAGAAACCCAAACCCTAAAAAGGAGTAGCTGGTGCAAAGATTCCAGGAGTGGGTGGGTGCAGAGACCCAAACCCTAAAAAGGAGTAGCTGGACAAAGATCCAAGGAGTGGGTGGGTGTAGAAACCCAAACCCTAAAACGGTGCCGCTTGTGCCAAGATCCAAGGAATGGGTGGCTGCAGAAACCCAAACCCTAAAAAGGAGTAGCTGGTGCAAAGGTCCAAGGGGTGGGTGGGTGCAGAAACCCAAACCCTAAAACGGAGTAGCTGGTGCAAAGATCCGAGGAGTGGGTGGGTGCAGAGAACCCCAAACCCTAAAAAGGAGTAGCTGGTGCAAACGTCCAAGGAGTGGGTGGGTGCAGAAACCCTAAAAAGGAGTATCCAAGGAGTGGGTGGGTGCAGAGAACCCCAAACCCTGAACAGGAGCAGCTTGTGCAAAGATCCAAGGAGTGGGTGGGTGCAGAAACCCAAACCCTAAAAAGGATCAGCTGGTGCAAAGATCCAAGGAGTGGGTGGGTGCAGAGAACCCCAAACCCGAAAAAGGAGCAGCTGGTGCAAAGATCCAAGAAGTGGGTGGGTGCAGAAACCCAAACCCTAAAAAGGAGTAGCTGGTGCAAAGATCCAAGGAGTGGGTGGGTGCAGAGAACACCAAACCCTGAAAAGGAGCAGCTGGTACAAAGATCCAAGGAGTGGGTGGGTGCAGAAAGCCAAACCCTAAAAAGGAGCAGCTGGTGCAAAGATCCAAGGAGTGGGTGGGTGCAAAGAACCCCAAACCCTAAAAAGGAGCAGCTGGTGCAAAGATCCAAGGAGTGGGTGGGCGCAGAAACCCAAACCCCAAAAAGGTTTAGCTGGTGCAAAGATCCAAGGAGTGGGTGGGTGCAGAGCTTGTGCCAAGATCCAAGGAATGGGTGGCTGCAGAAACCCAAACCCTAAAAAGGAGTAGCTGAGTAGCTGGTGCAAAGATCCAAGGAGTGGGAGGGTGCACAAACCCAAACCCTAAAAAGGAACAGCTGGTGCAAAGATCCAAGGAGTGGGTGGGTGCAGAAACCCAAACCCCAAAAAGGAGCAGCTGGTGCAAAGATCCAAGGAGTGGGTGGGTGCAGGAACCCCAACCCTAAAAAGGAGCAGCTGGTGCAACGATCCAAGGAGTGGCTGGGTGCAGAAACCCAAACCCTTAAAAGGAGCAGCTGGTGCAAAGATCCAAGGAGTGGGTGGGTGCAGAAACCCAAACCCTAAAAAGCAGCAGCTGGTGCATAGATCCAAGGAGTGGGTGGGTGCAGAAACCCTAAAAAAGAGTATCCAAGGAGTGGGTGGGTGCAGAGAACCCCAAACCCTGAACAGGAGCAGCTTTTGCAAAGATCCAAGGAGTGGGTGGGTGCAGAAAGCCAAACCCCAAAAAAGGAGTAGCTGGTGCAAAGATCCAAGGAGTGGGTGGGTGCAGAGAGCCCCAAACCCTGAACAGGAGCAGCTTGTGCAAAGGATAAAAAGGAGCAGCTGCAAAGATCCAAGGAGTGGGTGGGTGCAGAAAGCCAAACCCCAAAAAAGGAGTAGCTGGTGCAAAGATCCAAGGAGTGGGTGGGTGCAGAGAACCCCAAACCCTAAAACGGAGCAGCTGGTGCAAAGATCCAAGGAGTGGGTGGGTGCAGAGAACCCCAAACCCTAAAAAGGAGCAGCTGGTGCAAAGGAGTGGGTGGGTGCAGAAACCCAAACCCTAAAAAGGAGTAGCTGGTGCAAAGATCCAAGGAGTGGGTGGGTGCAGAGAACCCCAAACCCTGAACAGGAGCAGCTGGTGCAAAGATCCAAGGAGTGGGTGGGTGCAGAGATCCAAAAACTTTAAAAAAGAGTAGCTGGTGCAAAAATCCAAAGCAGAGAACCCCAAACCCTAAAAAGGAGCAGCTGGTGCAAAGATCCAAGGAATGGGTGGGTGCAGAAACCCAAACCCTAAAAAGGAGTAGCTGGTGCAAAGGTCCAAGGAGTGGGAGGGTGCACAAACCCAAACCCTAAAAAGGAACAGCTGGTGCAAAGATCCAAGGAGTGGGTGGGTGCAGAAACCCAAACCCTAAAAAGGAGTAGCTGGTGCAAAGATCCAAGGAGTGGGTGGGTGCAGAGAACCCCAAACCCTAAAAAGGAGCAGCTGGTGCAAAGATCCAAGGAGTGGGTGGGTGCAGAAAGCCCAAACCCTAAAAAGGAGTAGCTGGTGCAAGGATCCAAGGAGTTGGTGGGTGCAGAGAACACCAAACCCTAAAAAGGAGCAGCTGGTGCAAAGATCCAAGGAGTGGGTGGGTGCAGAAAGCCAAACCCTAAAAAGGAGCAGCTGGTGCAAAGATCCAAGGAGTGGGTGGGTGCAGAAACCCAAACCCCAAAAAGGAGTAGCTGGTGCAAAGATCCAAGGAGTGGGTGGGTGCAGAGAACCCCAAACCCTGAACAGGAGCAGCTGGTGCAAAGATCCAAGGAGTGGGTGGGCGCAGAAACCCAAACCCTAAAAAGGAGTAGCTGGTGTAAAGATCCAAGGAGTGGGTGGGTGCAGAGAACCCCAAACCCCGAACAGGAGCAGCAGGTGCAGAGATGCAAATCCCCGTAAAGGAGTGGGTGGGTTCAGAAACCGAAACTTGGGCCCTCTTGATCTGAATCAGTGATCCTGTTCCGTGTGCCGAAACGCACCCTTGGAAAGCGGAAAGCTGCAGCTTCCGCATCTTCCCATAGCAGGCTTGGGTGATTGTTGTTTTGCAGACGGCTCTCCGGCAATAAACCCGGGATACACAGAGCTGGCGGCCTAAAAGCAGTAGAAGGCCACAGAGGATTCGCAGCTCTCAGTTTTATGTGTGGCTTCAACTTTAGGGGAAGACGTAGAGGGTGTAATATTCCATCTTCATGTCTATCCTACGGTTGCTCCGTTTTCCACGGTCCGCATCTTCTCCTCCATCGTGTTCCGTCGTCCCGCCCTCCTCCTCCTCCTCCTCCTCCTCCTCCTCCTCCTCCTCCTCCTCCTCCGGATGCAACGTCTCCGTCTGGAGCATTTGGCAACGTCGTGTTGCCCAGATCAGAAAACAAGCCACAGGTCAGCTTCGGTGCTTTGACGGCGCCGAGTCATCCAAGGACTGTTCTTCTTTGTTTTTGTCTCTTCGTCTTCGCTGGTCGTGCAGCTGTAGGCCCAGCCTGAACGACAAAGAAAGGTCTCAGGATGCCTGTGGCAAAGCTGGCCATCTTCATGGGCATGTACCTGACAGCGAAGCTTCCCACACTTCGGAAACCCCAAAGCCGTGGGCTCCAGTCGTAAGCCGTGCGCTCAAGGTCGTTGGACTCCACTGCAGCTGGACTCCTGGAGCTGTCTGAGAGGACTTCGTGGAACAGCTTATACTCTGGTGTAGTTTACTGCTGTTGAGGCAGTGGCATGCGTGCTTGTCTCGGAAGCTGAGCTGCTCTGCTGCCAGCTCTGGGATCGACATTCCTGGTCTGAACCCACACTCTGCAATCTCTCTGCAGTTGGCTCGGAATTTCTTGAGGTGTTGGCACAAACGCCGTCGCAGCCAAGGACAAAACCAAACAAATTAAGGCCTCAAGCCAAAGGCTCGCGGCTCGCCATGCACTCTCGTGAGGCCGGGTGCCCAACAGGACGGTGCAAAGAAGCCAATCTCCTACGGACGTTGCCATGCCTGCGGAGACATTTTCACACACTGTGGCATATCCAAGGGCAGGCAGATGGTCAGAACAGCCTGCGTGCAGAAGCGACAGTGGTTCTGGCGATAGCCTCGTTTCTCTCATCCGCAGAGGACGTTTGACCATGACACTTCCTTCAAAATGAATGTAGATGGAGCACGTGCCTCCTGCGTGCTCGCCAGCATCGTAGTCGTAGCCAGCTCTCGCCAGCTTTGGGAAAACAGACTGGATGCAGCACCTACTCAAATTTCAAACCTACTTTCGGCCTGTGGGCGTGGACCCAAGGCTTGAGCCAACTCCGAAGCCCAACGCAGTCTTAACCTGCAGATCCCGGACACATCGAGACTCCTGGGTCCACATGAACCCGTCGACGTCTCTTGCTGTCTCTCTGCTGCTTTCTGCTTGCATCGCAAGCAAGGTTCGTAGAGGCTTGACTAACAACTATCTCTGGCTCGTTTTCCTCAATTTCTCCGTGTCCGCAGCTATCTGACCCGCTCAGAGTCGGCCTCCGGGCAAGCCGTAAGTTCGCAAAAGGCATCGCCGTAGCTCAGTGGCATGTTTACTCGGAGGCTTCTGTATTTCAAAGCATTACCGTGCAGCTTACACTCCACAACCCTTAGCCGGAGTTGCCTAACAGGAGAGCGAGCAGCAAGGGCAGAGGTGCCAATGAAGACGCACTGTTCCAGTGCTCAATCTTGTCCTGGGCAGGCAGAGGCGTGAGGTGATGGTTCGGAAAGATGCTGGCTCGGGCTATGCCTCTATTCTCTTGAGATCACCGTTGAGACCGTTGAGCTTGGAGATGGCTTCCTGCTTCAGCTACAGCTTTGCACGTTCAACGGAGGAGACCAAGAACCACGACCGTCTACTGCCTGCAAAGCTTTGTCATCTCCGTTCAACTTGTCCTGCCCCCGCAGCGTTCGCGTGACCGTACCATCACGGGGCACACACCGAGCAGGTGCCTGCATCTCTTTCTTCTTGTTTTCTGTGTTTTCGAGGTCGTCGGCACGCTTGCCTTCTTCGGCCTCCTTCTTCTTTGCTTCATCCTGCCCACAAAGACAGCAAACTTATCTGCGAATCTGAGAGCTATGTTTGAGCTTCGAATCTACTTGAAAACTATCAGCGTGCCTTCAGCCAGGGCGTCTGCGACATCAGGATGCCCAGTTTGTACTGCAAGGTCAGTGCAATCTACATGATGCCATATTGACTAAAACATCCGCTGCAACCATGGAATCGTGACTATCTGATTGTTTCCCTGCAACATCATGGACACACTGCAATCTCCTCAGCAGCATTGTACTCTGGCACCACCGTCTCAAGGGTCTTGCGTGCCTTAGCAGCGACTGTATGCTGTTAGTGACTTAGTGACTTAGTGCAGATGCTGTAGTCAAGCATGCTTCACACCTCCTGTTTAGTTGCCGAGCGTCGTCGTCTGCCTTCTGCTTCAAATCGTCACGTCGCTTCTTTGCAATAGCCAAAGCAACCAAATGAGCCTTGATCAACAGACACGCAAAAGGCAATCGGAACTCCGGTGCACCATTTTCCGGCTGCGCGATTCTGACAGCTCGCAGACCACACCTTGTAGGCATCCTCGGCTTTCTTCGTGATAGCATGCGACTGACCGTAGAGGTCGGCAACTCGATCGACTTCAGCAGCTTGTCTCTCCACATCCTGGAACGGGTCAGGAATCGAACAGAAGCCGAGCGCATGCACAAATCGGCTTTCGGGCCTCTTTGTTGCGACTCATGGTCGCAGAAGTGTGTGCCACAGCTTCAGCCTTTCGCGTCGTTTTCGCTCATGTCTCAGATATCTCGAAACTCACTTGCGCGGCCAGGACAGTGCAGTGAGTGTTCTGTCCCCACTTCATTGACAGGTTGCTGTGACAGTACTTCTCATGCCTGCGGCTCACTTCACTACTTGGCACACATGGAAACAAGCCATTCTCCGAACTCTCCGAACTCGAGCAAAGAACAAGACTTGCTTACCCGGCATTGCAATCCCTTGCAAAGGAATCCTCGTGCCAGACAAGTCCAACTCATCTTTCGTCTCGCTCGCAACAGACAACAGCACACGTGGCGGCAGTGATCACACGGAGGAAACTCCCACCGAAACTCCCTCTGCATTGGACATCGTGGCCAACATCGGGAGGACTTCTCCCTCTTTCGGTGACCGGCCGCCACAGGATGCTGGTGGGATGCCAGTGTGAACATTCCTTGAAAGACTCGTTGCGGCCCTCGATCCTCGAGAACTTCGCGTTGCAGAGCCACAAAAGAAGCGGGCTCAGGACTTAGGAGACTTAGGAGACTTAGGATTTCGGACTTAGGCCTTCTGGTCGCGGTCTTGGCAAGAAGGCAGAAGGCCAGGCTTGGTGCTCCGAAGATCCGCTCAAGGTGAGCCATGCTTGTTGTCGGATGTTGCGTTCCCTTGATTGTACATTTCCGACAAGGTCAGCCTTGCCGCACTGAGGGTACCTCGACATGCAACTCCGGTCCAACCCTCTGTGAGCTTCGCTGAGACCATCATCTACTAGCAAATGCAGTTTGTCACATTCCAAGCTGGTGGCCTGGTCGTGGACGAGGTGTGTGAGATTGTCGTGTTGGTCGTTGAGAGCTTTCAACTGAGGGTCCTGCAGAGAGCCGTGAATAGAGGGACATTGGCGGTGGCGCAAGCGTGGGGTTCTGTCCGTGCCGCGCTTGGTGACAATCTCCGTGTGGTTCTTCAAGGCCACGGTGTGCCCCGGTGCGGGGCCTGCCGCGCCCGGGGCGAAAGCCGCCAGCTGGACCTACGCACAGTGCCACTGTTCTGAAACGGCCAAAGCTCGGCCGCTGGCTAGGCTGCTCTGTTGCTCTGGGCTGCGGACCAAGGAGGCCTGCCCGCCCGGGATGCAAGGCACAAGTCTAGAGTCCAGAGAAGCTGCCGCTGCAGACCTGTTGCTTTGGCAGCTCCGACTTGTTGAGAAAATCATCGAGGGTCTTCTCAACCTGACCATTCCCAACCCTACGAACATCATGTCGTAATTCGCCGTGCTTTTGTCTCCAAGCAACTTGGTCCATGCCCATCTCTGTTCTGAAGTCAAACCCCTGCCAGGCTTCTGACCTCCTGACGCTCGCTGCTGGTCAGATTCGCCGACTGCAGAGCCTTCTCGACCTGAGCGGGAGTACAAGGCGCAGCACAACGGCCCTAAGAGGAAACACCCCAGAGGATCACGCATCCTCATCGTACCTGAGAGTGGGCCAGGTTGGATGTCGAAGTCACAACGACCAGGGACTGCCTGAAACATTTTCTCGATGCAATCTTGGAGCTTCGGCGGCGCATCTTTATGAAAGGGTCTCTTGGCAGCCTCAACCTGAGACTCTAGATGCAGAGTGCGAAGGCTTCTCCATGCTTCTCCTTCTCAGGCTGAAGCCATCGACGCGTGGCCATTTCCGTCCAGTTCAACAAGCACGGAAGCTGGAGCTTCCTCAGTCTGGGGGCGGCGGCAAATGTACAAAACGCCAAGGGCGTCAGCAGGGCTCCTGGTCCTCCGGCACCGCCGTGCCCAGCGCGAGGAAGGAAAGCACGAGCTTGAGCGCCTTGGCCTTGAGCATCTTCCGGAACCTGGCCGTGGCAAACAAATGCAAAGAACATCAAACGAGGAAGAGGAAGCTCTGATAAGCGTCAGAGCTGAGGCGAAGGCGCAAGATGGAACGTCCTGACCTTAGAACAGCTGTGGCAGCCGGGCAGAGGGCCCATTTTTCTGCAACGTCTAAGCTGCTGGCAAAATCGACCCTGAGGGTTTCCAGGGCTGGAGCCAAGCAGACGTAGTGATGTGGAAGCACACAAAGGTCTAGCGTGCCGGTTCACATCTGCTTACTCCCTGTCGCAGCTAAGTCGGGCATGGCAAACAGTTACCACCTTTTCGGACTGGCCATCGCATCAACAGCGAAACCAGCACGCATCAGCAGCTTGAGAAATCGGCCAGGCTTCCCCATGTGCTACACAAGGCCAGGGTGATTGCTTCCTGCATGTTCGTGTACAAGAATGGCCGCCTTTCTGTCTATCTGTCACAAGCAGATGAGAGTCCTCTCTTGTCTCCTGCAAGGAGACACGGCTCTACAAAGAACAGCCTCTTCCTCTCTGGGAAGTTACATCGAGAGCGCTGGCACAGCACAAGGCCTTTCCCCACTGGCCAAGTGTACGCTCAGCTTGGTACACAAACATCCCAAACCAGAATGGCAATGAAAGACTCTCAGAATCCTAAGCATCAATCCACAATCGGGTACCTAAGAATAGCCAGCTCCGCATCCAATGCTTGACCTTTACACACTTAATGCCACTGCGAAACAGACCCCAGACAACGACATGGCAGCTGCCTGTCTGGCAAAGCCTACTCCTACAGTAAATTCTGTAGCAATAAGTTTGCTGGAAAATATTCATGTGATGATTCTCCTGGTCATCCTCCACTGAGGTCATGTCCAGAGAACACAAGGGAATTAAACTCTTGAACACTTCACTACTCCAAGACCGCAAGGATAGATGCTCACTGGAGCATGACCAGTCTGAGCAAGCAGTCTCTTTCGAGCCAAGGACCGTCCACCGTGAGTGGCCGCGACAGGTGTCAACAAGCATCCTCAAGGAGTCTAAGCTAACGAGTGACTTAGTGGTGGCTTGCGGCGCTTTGCAGAGGCCACCCAGTTCTTGCTGACACGTTGTGTTTCCTCTTCGTCTGGCGTCTTGCCACGAGGATCTGCGCAAAACTTCCGGTCCTCTCAAACCTGCAGGTGGAAGGCCAAGCTGCACTGCGGCCAAGTTAATAAATTCTCAGATTCGCTAGAACTTGTGACGTGCGTTTATGTACCTAGCTAAATCTAGAATGACGTGGTTCTGTCTAGTTCCCGATGCAGGACTCGCGCATTCCTTCAGCGGGAAAATTCCAGGAAGCATCACAGGAAATAGTCCGGCACAAGTTTTCTCGAGGGTTGCCCTCGTGCATCTGCTGGAGCAGCCTGTGTCACAAGTTAATCAGGAAGTACAGGACGGATGCGGCGACCGCGCTGACTATCCACGCTCTGGCTCGGCAGAAGTGGATCAGCAAAATCGGCCTCAAAGATGCGGAAAGACTGCTTCAGGTTCTCGTCAAATTCTAGAATCGCAGCCACATTCCCACACCTGCACGCTTTCAAGACGAAAGTCGCAGCACCACTAAGTTTTGCTGAGGCCAGCGCCGGTAGCAGTAGTTCGGCGCAGACCAGACAGTCACAAGAGCCTGTCTTAAGAGAGCAATGTGAACACAGCAGAGGTCGCGATCACGGACAGCATCCGCGCCTCATTGAACATCCACTTGTAGCCGTCCATGACTAGCTGATGAGCACGTCCAATGAGCTCAATCCCATTGGTATGGTTGAACCTCGCACGACATGATTCAGCTGACTCAGTGGCTCACTCAATAAGAACTCGCTGCACACCCTGTTGGCCCGGCACTACATGGAGGCGAATCGTCAGGGTCCGATTTCATTCCAGTGAGTTGGCACTACCGAGCAAACAAGCGAATGCAAGGTCCCGACCCCTTGACAACGTCAGCACCGAAGAGATAGCCGGCACCTCTTGGGGACAGACCCCAGCCGTCTAGGTCCTTCAACATCCAACGCGGAACAGCAGCAGCAACAACCACTTTGGAGAAACATGGACCCTGTCCTCTGGATCTGACCACATGAGGTCACACATGGCACCCTCGTGAGGGACCTTCGAGCGGAGACGGGGTTACATGACATTGTAACACTGCAACCTCCTAAAGGACAGCACCCTGACTCGCACCGCTTTCAGCGAGCCTCCTGCTTGCGATCGATGCTGCGCACATCGTCTAAAGTGTTGATTGCAGGAGAAAGCCCGCCGTGAACACAGAAAACGCGATCCTGACATCTTTCAAGCGATCACAGGGATCCGTTTTTAAGGTGCCACTGGGAGTGGCCTCGATGAGCGCCGCCAAGGCTAGGTAGTCAAAGATCTCTGTACAGTATCGCCACCTGAAAAAGTTGAATCACTTCCTGCCTTCTGCGTGGAATCTTGCGGACTCTCACTCTGCTCTGCGCTGCCAGGCCACACATTCACGCTACCATACTTTCGGAGGCATTCGTCGTAGAATCCGTACACCTGCAAGCGACTCACGATTAGACGAAGCCCTGAGCCCTGTCAAGTCTCTGCCTGAGTTATCTGGCGGCTTTCATGGTTGCCCCGAATCAGCATTATTCGGTCGGGGTAGCGCACCTGTAGATCTTGCAACATGTGCCAAGCCAGGCAAGTGCTGCCCAAAAGCTTTCTCTGCCTTCAGGGCCAATAGAAGCAGGAAGGTCTCCACCTTGCAATGAAACTGAAAGCACCCACAAACAAGCATCTTCTTCTTCAATCAACAGTTTGGTGGGTTATTTTGAGGGGCCAACACTGTAGAATCCTCTGTCAACGAAGTCGCCCATGAACAAATAGTTTGTGTCTGGGCAATCACCACCTACCTGCCACGAAAAACACGCCTGGTATTCGGGAATCGAAGGTTGCACAGGCCTTAAAGAGTTCCACCAAATCATAGAACTGCCCGTGGATGTCTCCGCAAATCTGAGAATCAGAGCGTGTCGCGATTTGAAACGGCGTGCGCTTGTGCTCGCGCAAGAGAAGCAGCTCGGAGCCCGGCTGTGACAGGGGCATCTACTCGCTGCACATTGCATTCCTCGACGAGGATATCCCGTGCTTTCGAGCACAGGGCCTGTGACAAGCACTCGTTCCACAGAGGATCAACAAGGGGACAGATCGCTTCACCATTACACCACCAAACAACAAGAGCGCAGTCAGAGCAGCATGCTCGTTCGGCATTAATTTGTCCTTCGAGGTCACAAGCTTCAAAATCGGACACGTAAGTGTCGCCAAGCTGCTTTGACTTCTGCTTCTTTGATGTACTCGCACCTGAACAAGTGCAAACTCTCGCATGAATGTGTGCTTCGACTCTGCCATGTCCTTGCCATTCAGTCTAACAGCATGGCGTTTGCGGGAATGAAAGCTCAGGTAATGACAAGAACAGCCGGTCCCGCCTCTTGAGCTGATCGATTTGTCTGTCTAAATCTGAAACTCCCATGGCTTCTTCAGCCGCGCATTCCAAAATTACGCACACTTGAACCGACAGCACAGCAAAATAGGCAAAATCAACAATAAGCTATCCATGGATTGAAACACTATAGACCTTACGGCAACTATGCAGAGTGACATTGGCACACATGCAACGTCAAACGGATTTAGTGTGCAACTTTTTGTATAACACGACCGATGCTGTCATGATGTCGCCTGTGGGGGAAGGGCAGTCGAAGTCCCAGCCCTGGGATGTATAGGCTCAACTCCCCATTTGCAATGAGTCGCCAAGATACATGCAAGGGGCTTTGGCAGCTTTCCATTGCCGTCAGTATTAGCATACCAGCGAAGATAAATTTACCAAATATGTTGCATTTAGTTTGACTGTTCTCGTCTTTTCAAGCCGGAGAGCGCTGGCCTTGACTCAACAAACCGAACTCCTTCTTCTCCTGCGCTTTTCCGCTGCTGTCCGAAACCGCAAATGCTCCCAAGCTCGCAGGAGTGCCTGCATCTGGTGCGTGATAAACCCGACATCTGTGACACATGAAGGGGCTGCATGCCTTCGCGACGGTTCAAAACCACATCGCATCACCTGTTGCAAACAGTAATGATTGATTCAAGGCTGCACAACGTAACGTTGCTGAAACAGACGGTTCCTGCAGTCCGCTACAGTTCTCAGCAGCCGTGCATGCAGCGCAGTTCTTTTGCGGATGTGGGTCTGCTTAACAAATCTCGAAAAGGATCCTGAGCATGTTCTGCCAACGCGCCGGGAAACACCAAAGACAATGGCGTGTGCAACATCAATTCGCCCTTCGGTGTGCTTTCGGTGGTGAGCATAGGCATAAACTCGACTGGACTGTCCATGTGCATCAATCTGCATCAATGTGTTTTAGACTCACGCATGTTGAGGCCGACATGAAAATTTTGCCACATAAATTGGAACACAAGTATCTCCAACAGCTTTATTGGTATTGAAGTGGAAGAACAACAAGGGTTAGACAAGCATGACAAGTGTTCCAGTTCAGCTACAACCAGATTGGCGTTTTGGCCGAAGGACCAAAACGGAGTGCAAAACACTCTTCGACCGCAGAGAGGTGCAAGCCGGGTTCTCGGTGAAGACTTTTTTCCAATACAGTTCTAAACTTCCACACGAACCCATTTTGTTCTTCGACCTGTTCAAGCACCTTTCCACTCGTGTGCAATTTGGACCAACCTTGGGGTTTGTCGTTCAAAAAAGTTGCCGGTCGCGGCGTTGCGCGCGGTAAATTTCACCTTGAAACACCGTTCGAAGGGCAGCACCTATTTTTTCGTTGGCAAGCGCAAATCGCGCTGCCACTACGCCATAGCGCACAGACACCAAGCCTTTTAGACACCAAGCCTTGCAAAAATGTCTGCTGCTTTGCGTGCCGTTTAGCTCCAGACCTGACGAGACTTCCAAACACCATATCTTTGGTTTCTACCAAGCCATGATCCTGGTTCGAAAACCGTAAACCCCAGCATGGACCGCCACCAGAACCACGTCTGCAATTTTGTTTGGTCCAAACACCCAAAACCGCCACAAAAGCTTTGTCTCAAAGGTCACATGTCAGCTTTCACTTTGAATTCGGACATTTAGAACCGCCAAAAACTTTGTCTTCCAGAACCACGTCTATCATGACGTTTTCGATCCAAACATCCAACTGTCAACTTTGCATGAAACTTGTAACTCCAAGCTTGCTTTCCATTAAAACAAGTTTCATGCAATGCTTTCCATGCAGTTATGCAAGGCATAAACAAGCTGATGCACAAATTTGTTGGCGTCAGGGGGCCTCATTGGCTGCGGCTGCTCTGAATAACTACGGAACACACAAACACACAAGCGGCTCTAGCCCAGCTCGCAGTCAGAGCCAGGAAGGCGACACACGCACTGGTTGCTGCAAGTCCACACTGCCATGAGTTTTTTTTGCGTGGTCGGGCCTCAGTGACAACGGCTGCTGCGCTCGGTCCCTATAAGAAGCAAGAAAGCAAGAAGAAGCAAGAAGGCAAGAACAAAAAACTACACAAGGGTGAAAGCTTCAAGGCTAACTAAACAAAGGCCGGCAAAAACCGCAGGTTCGAAAACTACGTCATCTACCCTGTTCGGCACCGGCAGTACTGCACAAGCCTCTCAGCGAGCTAACCCTCCAAACTCCAAACTGTACAAGGAAGGCAACAACCTACTCAGCGACAAACAGAGGTAGAAGAGAACCGTCGTCCAGCAACTACCCGAAGAAGCGGTGGGTTCCCCAACGCAAAGGTCCCCGGCCGTCGTTCTAGTCCCGTCGGACAACGAGCGAGACCGCAAGCTTCGTTTCTGCGTTGTCGCGCACACCAAAGTCCAAGACAAGTGGAGCCAACCGGGAGCCCAAACCCAAGGCCGTAAGAGAAGCACCGTTCTCGCTCTTACTAACTGCAACCTTGCAACCCGGTAAGAAAGGGCACCGCCCGAAGCAGGGAAACGAGACACATGGCAGGCCAAAGGTGGCAGAAGCCGCGTTCACGCACGTACTAACCGCAACATACACCGAAAGGAGTCGCGACCATGCCAAGCGGCAACAACCAAGCAACGCAGAGCAAGGCCCAAACCCTGGGCCGAAAGGCAGGCAGCGTTCACGCGCTTACTAACTGCAACCTTGCAACCCGGTGAGAAAAGGCACTGTCCGAAGCAGGGAAGACGACCCACATGGCAGGCCAAGGGTGACCGAAGCGGCGTTCTCGCACTGACAAACCGCAACATTCACCAAAGGAGTCGCGATAATGCCAAGCAGCAGCAACCAAGCAGCGACAGAGCAGAGCCCAAACACAAGGCCAGCAGTTCTCGCGCTTACTAACTGCCTTGCAACCCGGTAAGAAAAGGCACTGCCCGAAGCAGGGAAAACGAGGCACATGGCAGGCCAAAGGTGGCAGATGCGGCGATCTCGCTCATACTAACCGCAACAAGCACCGAGAGAGCAGAACCTGAACCCAAGACCAAGAGAAGGAGCGTTCTCGCGCTTACTAACTGAAACCTTACAACCCGGTGAGAAAAGCTGTCCGAAGCAGGGAAAACGAGGCACGGGCCTTAAGAGAATTTTTAGCGTTTTTCCGAAAAACTTTTGAGTCCTCCCTCACCTGCTTAGACGTGGCTTGCATGGGCTTGAACTTTAGTTTAAAGACTCCAGAAATGCGCATGCCCCCGACGGGACGCCTTCCTTGAGAAGGCTCGACACACACAGGTCTGGGTAATCATATTTCTTAAGCAAAGCTTCCCACAAAAGAATGCGTTTGGATGCTGTAATCTCACAAACATCAGGGTGCCGCCTCATTGGATGACAACGAAGTTAACCACTCCTTGATTTCCCTAGCCCTCAAAAGCGGAGACTTCGGCGTCTCCCACTTGTCCAAGAATTCAAGAGTATCATTCAAGGGGGCCGGGAGCATAGAGCCCATCGACCTTGGGTGACATGATTCGGACGCTTTCCGCATGAACTCCAGCTCCCAGGGAAACCCACAAGCCATTTTCCAGGAATCAACTTTCACAGTTCTTTCCCCCCCCCATCTGGGACTATCGGCACGGAGCAGCTGAGCTATTGCCGGGATGTGTGCCAAGGTGGCACCACACTGTGGCGGCACGGGCCACGGCCAAGAGGCAGTCTGCGTTTTGGCCCAGGCGGGCGATGGGACGTTTTGGAAATCTGACTGCTGGACCAAGGTCTCCTCCAATTTTACTTTTGTGTCGTGCCACGAATGCGCATATGAGGGCAACTACTTGAGTACAACCATTTTCGCTGTCACCGATCGTTCATTTTCGAAGCTTTTGCTAGGTTTTACCGGGCAGCTCTTGCAGATAGAAGCGTATGTCCGAATGCCCATTGCATGGCGCCTACCCCGTGCGTCTTAGCCATGCAGATGGCTTGCTGTTTTAACTCAGCACTTCGTGCGAAAGGGCTAGCGATCGCCCCACAATCTTTTGATGCTTTCCATCCTCGCTTTAGAAGTTCCTGTGTCCCGTGCTTTGTAGCAAGGCTGCTGCCAAGAACTAACCCGTAGCATCGGTCAAGTGAGCAGGCGGAGTTACAAAGAGGCTGACTAATCTTGGCGAAGATAGCCACTCCATGCACAGCTTCTAGCCTTTCTGGCTCACGCAATTTGTCACTCTCGCTGGGCGCCTTCTCGGGTGGCCATCTGTGGATTCAGGACCTCTCCTGGCCAGCCGATTCAGTTGCATCTGGCTTGAGCTGGCTGCATGGCTGTGCTATCGACACACATCGCAAAGCCATCAGCTTCGGTGGCCGCATTAGACACATGTCTCAGGAGAGCGTTGGCTCTCATGGCCTTTTCTCTGCCTGACGTGTTGTGTCGAACTTGAGCTTCTGGGTTTCCCACTGCCGCCGAAATTGTCGGTTTTAAAGAAAAACCCAAGATTCCGCCAGGCCGCTTGAGAGGGGGTCCTGAGATAAGAGCAGGGATGTCGGCAGCTGTCACCTCACCCTCTTCCCTCTTGGGTTCCAGTCCTGCCTCCAAACCCTTAACTTCTTCCCGCCCGCGAGGCTTGAGGAAGCAGACATCACTTCATCGCGCTTACTGGCAGGGACGCACATTCAGAAGATGTTCTATCCAGTGGCAGCCCGGCGCTTGGCGAGCTGATACTTGCATTTTTTCCCTTCCGGCGCGTCTTTTTCTCAAGATCACGTGGATCAATCATTCGCGCCATCAGCTTAGCAGGCTGTCTGTGCTTCAGATAGAATCTAAAGCTCCAGCTTTGACCCGACCCTGGATGTCTTTTGCCTAGACCTTCTCAAGCAAGTCCTCTTTCTTTGCGGCTCGAACGAGCAAACGGCGGCTGCAAAGGTTTCCCGTGCATCTAGTTCCTCAGCATTGTACACACTGCCGGGAGTCAAGAGCATTTGGAGTTGCCTTCCACTTCTTCTTACTAGTTGTTAGAGCGGCTCTAGGCCTGGTTGCATCAAGGCTGTGCTCTGATCTTGGTACCTCCATTGCTGCATTCAGACT